TGGATTTTTCTCCTTAGAGAAGTAAAACTCAGCAAGATATTGATCATTGAAGAAATTTCATCATATTGGCGGTGAATAACAATGTATGAAAAATCCTGAAGAGTAATATATTCATTAGCTTGAACTATGGAAAGACAGATTATATGAACTAATATAATTTAATTATTCCCTTCCACTTAACTTAATATATCAGCTTGCATATTTATCAGAGATGAACCAGTCATATTTTTCATATTAGATCTAGATTCTATAAGCAAAAAACTTAATTCTGCTCGATTCAAGAGGAATTTATACCAATTCACACTTATATAGGTAGCACGAAGCTCAAGTGAGAAAGTTAAAATATCACACGTGTGAAAATGAATGCAGTATTAACGATATATAATGAATTAGTTACCATTACAATGATAATCACGCGAGAAAAAAACGTGAAAAATCTAACGTGTTAAAACGAATTTTCCCAATCTAGCAAAAATTCATGAAAATTTTCTTCGTGAAACTTCATTAATTTGTCTTTTAAGGCAACTTTTGGCTTTAACTGAAGTAATTATTTCGCTAAACTTTTTTTTTTATCATGTGGAGCAGAAATGATAATGTACGAAGTACAGAATTACATTCCTTTAGATATAAAACCCATAGTAAATTTTAAAGAAAAAATGAAAGAGGATTATCTTTGTCTAGGATTAATTTAAGTGGTTTTGCAAGTGATTAAAACAAAGTTGAGATTTCTCTAAAGGAGAGTTCTGCTTAATCTGATAAAAAGCTTTTGATATCTGGATTGATATAGTTCACAGACACACTTGATATTTCGTAAATATAAGTCTTTCAAGCTGATTTTTGTGTAGTGTGCATAAACAAATATGTTACACAAAAAAATCATGAATATTGTACGCATGAAAACGATTAGTAGATTGAATGATGGATAATTAAATGACATTCGTTAACAATTAAAATTTTCATTAAAACTCGTTAAAATATTTCACTCGTAAAAATAGTTACTAGATTTAACAAGAATCAATCAGTTAAGTTTCGTGAAAAATACAGAAATTCATGAAAATGAATACCAAGTTTAACGATATTTAACATGATAAGATTGGTTAAAAATTAAAAAAAAACTTCAAGAAATATCGTTAAACTTCTTAACACGTGAAAATGAATGCAATTTTTAACGATATATAATGAATTAGTTACAGTCAAAACGACAATCACGCATGAAAAACCTAATGTGTTTACACGAGTTTTCGGAATATAACAAAAGTTCATGAAATTTCGTTAATTTGTCTTTTAACGCATTTTTTTACGTTAATTTTAAGAATCCTTTCCTTAAATACCTTTTTATTTTTACATGGGTATCAGAGACTGTCATCAGGTCAGGGCTGCCCTGATGCCCTGTACTGTCCTGCCCTGTACTTCAGGGCAAACTTCTTTTTTTGCCCTGTCCTGTTTGCCCTGCAGGGCGACCGAATAAAAGTACAGGGCAGGACAGGGCAAATTTTTTTTGCCCTGTTAACTTTTCACATAAATTTATTTGGAAGCCTTTTTCGAAGCTAAATGGAATCTTTCAAAACATCTATTATCGATGGAATTCCATCAACATCCATCAACCAGTGATGAATCTGTCTTTTCAATTGGTTTCATCAGAACTAATGAATTTGATACTCATTCTGATTTATCATTGTACAATACAGTTCTCCCCACTTCAGAAAAATTTAACCACGGTTATCATATCAAAAGTATTTAGAACCCATAGAAAATAAATCGCAACCTCTTGGTAAGTAGCGATGAAAATCTGCAAATCGATAAAATGATAGCGTTCAGTCAATCACAATCTCTATGTTCATTGATAAATATCTGATTTTTCTGCAGTCATCCTGCTTATTCTTTGGATCCGTACAAAAGAAGTGAAGATACTGGATTAAAGCCAGTTATTTTTTTTTACAAAGAATAAACTCAAATGATATCATTTTCGCTGGATTATCGTGTAACTTTTGATCAATTATTTCGTTTTCTTTCATTGATGAGATTTCAAAATTTTTTCTCATTAATCTAAAATATTTATCAATTTTTATTTTTTTAAATTAGTTATTCAATCTTAATCGACTAGAGAAATTTGAAAATAATCTTGACAATTTAAAAAGACTAACATAGCATCTCAGCAGGATTATAATTATATAAAAACAGTATCGTTTTCATAGCATTTAAACGAACTTTTGATTGTTTCTACACATGGATAATATTCTGTTGAAATGACTTAAACAAGGCATATATAATGAACACAAAACCCATTAGATTTATTCAGCATGTCATAAATTCATCCTATAGTTGAGATTCAATTTAAAGGCCCTCAGGGCGTCCTGCCCTGTACTGCCCTGCCCTGAGGGCAGGGCAGGGCAAAAAATATTTTATGTTTTATCGTCCAGGGCAGGACAGGGCAAGGCATAACAGGGCAAAGGGCAGGACAGGGCACAAAAAAACTGCCCTGTGACGGTCTCTGATGGGTATGAAAGCATATTGCGTCACACATTTGTTCATTATTCTAAGAATTCTTTTGTAACATGATATGTCAATATTGTATAGAGTTCGTTGATTTCGAACAAAAAAATGAAACCAAACCGGAACTGGAACTGTTGGAATCGAAAATATTTTTATTGATAGCTACGAGCCTGTTTAAATGCTGCATAATCTAAAGACGCAAAGATTAATTGAATTTTGTATTAGTGGTAAACTATGCGGATTTCTCACAATTGGATGAAAAGAGAACTCAAAAATAGTTAAAAGTATGATTAAGAATCCTAAAAGAAAATGATTTTTTTCAGAAAAGACATGGTTAGATACTTCCATAGACATTTTCATAATCATTATTACTTTGAACCGTGTTCCTGTTAAAAGCAAAAATTTTGCCCATAAAAGACGGTTTTTCGTCTAAAAAAAAATCGTTTGTGCTGAAAACAGTCGGTTTTTCTTATAGGAGTTGTTCGGTGACACCTATTACAGTAAGACATAAGCTTAAATCGGGTTTTTTTTGTTTGAAAGCTCATTTTTTCAAAAAATGATCTTCAATAAAGAAGAAAGTATTTTTCTTTGAATAAAACTTGATCAAAATTTGTCTTTATTCATAAAATTTCTCTGTTTTATTGAGAAATTTTTGAGTTAATGTAGAAATTTATTTTTATGTATAACTAGACACTTATAATCTTTGCACAAAGTTTCAGGTCGATATTATTGTATCACCAGTTGCAAAGATACGTTTTAGAAACTGTTATTAGTAACTGTAGCTATCGCCCATTTAAGAAGAGAAAGGTGGATGGATATTTTTTGAATAGCTTTTTGTAGAAGCAAGATAGAGAGCTGCGATTTTCATCGTTAGAAAGAAGAGATGGAGATGTATCAAACTGTATGTTACAGAATAATTTAAACTAGTTTTTTCAAAGACTTAAATCGACGTTTTTGAAAAGCAACATATTCCGTAAGGTGGCTAAAAGCCAATTTTCAATAATCAGCTGCGCATTTGAACCGCTAAATGAAGATTTACAAAAGTACGCAAGTCCAAGACTCTTAGATTTACTTGTTGAGGAGTTATAGACTTTTTATTCGAAACTCTTAGCCGATTTTTCTATTAATTTCTGTGAAAAAAAATATTTTTTTTTTTGCGTTTTTCTTAGGAGAAATCGATTATTCCGGTATTTTTTTTTTTTTTGGAAAATTCATTAAGAAAACATCTTAGAGAAGTCTATAATATATCATTCGATGCGTCTTCATCTTCTCTTTCCTACGGTGAAAACTGCATCTCTCTATCTTGCTTCTATCAAAAATTATTCAAAAAGTATCCGCCCGCCTTTTTCTTTTGAAATAGGCAATAATATCGAATCGTCGGTTTTGGATATTTGTTGGAATCCCTGATCTCTAATATGGAATTATTAGTTAGAAGAAGATATTCTTATCAATAATTTAGTTTTCATAATTGACAAATGGTATATATAAGGTCAAGAATATAATTTCTCTGTGATATTGAAGAAAACTTTCGTAGTTTAATTGGAAATATTTTTCTAACTTCGTCAAATACAAAAAGTTAATGTTTGATAATTTTATTTAATAGGTAATAGGGGTAGTACTTTTATCTTTACTTTAGTAGATAAAGTAAAGTAAAGTTATTTCACTTTACTTTATCAGTAAAGTCAATTACTTTACTTTATCGGGTAAAGTAAAGTAAGTTCACTTTACTTTATCAGTAAAGTCAATTGCTTTATTTTACTTTACTTTTTCAAAGTAAAATAAAGATAAAATACCATTCCTAATAGATAATCGATTACAATCAAAATTGAATTTGTTATTGTTTACTTTTATTTAAGGAAAAGCTGAATATTAATTGATTATTCAAAAAGCTTAAGAAAAAAGCATGAAATAGATAAAATTAATGTAAATATAAGTAAGAGTCAATTATTTCATAATAGATTGTCTTATTAAAATGAAACCGACTTAGAATATGATGCTTCCTGATCACCATTTTGATCGAATAGACGTGTTTCAATCGTGTTACCAGTACCTAAAATATTAATATCAAAGGAAAACAAATCAATCAATCGATATAATATATATATATATATATTCTTGTTAACATACCCCATTGAACAAGATCATTATTAAGCACTTTTTGTCCTGATGATGAGTCAGCAAGAATATTACCTATTTTTGAATAGATTTTTAATTCTCCGCTTCGTTCAATTTGAACTCCATCGGGTATTGTATATTGAAGTTTTTTTCCTGAATCAAGATGTTGTTCGATCGTCCATCTCGATATATCAATAGCATCAGTGGTCAAATTGCTTGTCAAAGTAATGTATGCACCATTAAGAGCACATTCTTCTACAAGAAAAAAAGAATTCTTTCTCTCTCTATATATATATCTATTTGAAGTTTCTACAGACCAATGCCAATACATCCTTGTCGATTTTTTTTTACAATAATTTTTGACATCGATTCACTTCCAGCTGGTGGACAACGACGAACAAGTTCTCGTTGTTCTCGTGATTCTATTATTTTTATTTCATTACCACTCAATAAATGTCGATAAACAATAATTTCAGCTTCTAACGTATTTTTACTTGAAAAAATTAAAAATAATAAATAATTATATAATTTTTCAATTGATAATAAAATTTTCTAACCTGCATTCAATTTGATTAATATCATAGATTATTGACAAAATATCTTCCTTTAAAATTTCTAATTCATTCGATGGTTCTTTATCTTGTTGAAGTAATCTTAATTCTACTGTCAATTGATCTTTTAGAAAACAAATAAAAAACTTTTAGAAAACAGCAAAAAGAAAAATAGATATGAAATCTTTACTTACCATATTTAGCTTGAAGCTTAATCGAGAGATCTTTTTCATAAGATAAACTCTTATTCAGTTCATCATATTCGATTTGCCATTTCTCTTGAAATATTGAAAATGTATCGATGACAATTGTTGGACTCGGTGGTGGTTCGTCAAGACATTTTTGTATTTCGGCCATTTTCTTTTCAAAACATGCCTGCATTTTACGATTAATTTCTCCATAATATATTTCGAAATCACTACGTATTGCCTTGACAATTCTGTCCAATTCTGATCTCCAAAATTGTATATCAACATCCCTTTTAATTGACGACGAATCAAATTCTCTTAAAAGAAAGAACAAATAAATATTACTCAATTTGAAATAACAAAGGACAAGTTAAATAAACTCACCGTCCTGAATATGAACGTATTTTCTTATAGAAGGCTATTTCACTTTTCAATGAATCCAAAGTTACATTCCAATGTTTTCGTTGTCTAATTATATTGCACCAATCATGTGTCAATGAAAAATATTGTTTTAATAAACTTTCACGTTCAGCATGTACACGTTCAATTTCATGTTCTAATTCTCTACAAGATGTACGTAGACTATTCAGTTGAGATGATGATTGTTTCAATTCTTCTTCTAATGATGAAATTCTTCTATCACTTTTCTCTTGCCCAGTTTCGATTAATAGTTCATATATTATATTCTGTAATTGATACAATTCAAAATCCAAGTCGAAATCAATTTTTTCATGGCACAATATCGATAAATTAGAATTTTGTGAGTGATAACGTTCATCCCATGATGAATCAATACTACCCAAACCAGATAAATTTCGTTGTAAATTTTCAATTTCAGTTAGGTATCTTGAATTCTGTAATTCTAGTTGTTGAACACGATCAATAAATGCACGAAAACGTTGATTCAATTCAGTTAGAGCATCTTTTTCATGTTGATGTTGTGATTGAAGATCAACTTGAAGCTTTTCAATATTGATCGACGAGAAAATTTGACAACGAAAGGTAGATACAAACTGTCCACCACTACGATTATAACTAACTCTTGAATCATCATGCATATCATTATCATCGATGACGCTGTATGGCTCGTACGACATTTTTATTGATAAAAGTCAGTTTTGCGGTTATAAATGCGGTTTATAAACTCTTTTTTTTTCTCACATTATTTATTCCGTTCTTACTTACACTAGTAAAGAACAAAATAAAGATTTGATCTCATTCCTGTTGTCATGTGTTATGTGCTGTTAAATATGGAAAATAAATCAAATATAGACTTAAATGTCACAGCTTTTTTTTTTGCTTTTTTTTTCTTTCCTACATATATTTTAAATGGTATAATTAAGTTTCTCTTGTCATTGACTATATCTAACAAATATTTTTATTTTAAATATTCTGTGCTTGAATACTTATTATTGTATTAATAAATCATGCTAGGATAGAAGAAAAAAAATACACCTTGAAAAGTCATATTCATTTTCATAAACTTATCATATTACTTCATTTGTTGATAAATACTGACGATTGTTGATAAATACTGACGATTGTTGATAAAAATCATTTTCACCTTGAAATTTATGCCGAAAATAAATTAAAAACCATATTTATCACAGTAACAAGTTTTTCATCTTCAGGAGAACACAAATTAATCAATCACCAACAAAAATTTAAATTTTTATTTACAACTGTAAACAGTCGATTTTCAGAAATCAACATCAACTATAGAAAAGTGTGTATGTGTTTTCTAAGATAAGAATAATATATAGAGAAATCTAGGCCTTGCTGTTTGTCTTATCGTCATCCACATCTAACATTTTCCCACGTTTATTAAAACAAAGATAATTGTTTCTATAATGCTATTAAAAGATATATTTATTTAATTCGCATTCTTTTTTGCTTATCTCTGATAAGATTGTGTAACAACAAACTACATCTGTTCAAAAATAAAGAGAAATAACATTTGTCTAATTATGGATCTGCCTTTTGTATTTTATCATAACTCAATTTTTCACACCTGTGAATTACCTTCAAGTATTGGAAATTATTTTTTTTATTAATGTTCTATTAAAATTCTTTATAATTTGATAGAGTTGAGTATGCTCATTACATATTTTACATTTTTTTTTTCAAAAGTAATCAGAAAATAAGAAAAACCTTGAGGTTTTGCTCCCCTCAAAAACTCGATTTCAGCCCGGATACATTCAAATATCCTGAAATTCTCAGGATATATTAGGACTGTAGTGGAGAAGTTATGATAACATTTTCAATGAGGTTTGAGGAAGATATTGATCAAACAAGGGTCAACAATAGCTCATTTGAAAAACCAAATTTATCTATTCAGGCTCATTCTATGCATTTTATTTTCTTTTTGTTTAAAAGAGCATGTCAGTTTTTTAAAGTGGAAAAAGGAGATGAAAAGTTCAATAACTCGAAAAACTCTCTGAAAATGACGATCTATTTATATAAGTGTTCGTATATATAATAAAAACAAAGCTTAATAAAAAAAAAAATGACTCTGTACTGCACTGCATCTTGACGTGCTCTTTCAAATAAAAAAAATTAAATGTAGTGAATGAAGCTCCGTTAACAATTCTGGATTGGCCGATCAAACAAGGATAAACTGAGAAAAAATGAAAAAAATTTTCTGTTTTTCTTTCAAACAGCTCATTTTTCGAATAGGAAAAGACAGAAATCTTCAAAAATTTTTCGAGAAAATCAGATGTCGAGTAAAAATTTTTCTCGTTTATGAAAGATTAGATCACGGACTAGCTCTCCATACATTTATCTTAAATTCGATCATTCTGACAAAAATTGACTTTTTTTTTTTTTTGAGAGGAAGAGAGGCTTTAAATCCATTCTGACAACTCTAAAAAAGATCAATTGTGACCTGAAAGTTTATTAAAATCTAATTCATAGATTCGTCAAAAATAAGTTTCTTCGATGTTAGATTTCTTTCCTCGATCGAAATCTGTAAGAACTTGTTAGATATTCAAATCTTTTATATATCAACAAATGTCAAATACTATCACCTTGATTGAATTATATTGTTACAAACAAGGATTTTTTGTCTTATGAAGTTACCATATCTACGGATTCACTAGAAAGATTTTCATTTCGAATCTGTAATTCAATATTCTCTTTCTCATAACACAATTTAAGGCGGTTGACTGATGAGTTATAATTCAACTGAGCCACTCGTTTTCAATGCCTGAGCATCAGTTTGAATTGGAAAAAAACGAAGATTGCTGAGATTGAGACAATGTGACAAGTGTACTTCCTTACATGGTGATGCGTGCATGATTAAATATTAAAGCGATCAATCATGTCTTAGATGGTCAATACATACTTTATTTAATAATTATAACCTTGTATGATTTCAATTCATCCATGAAGGAATCTCAAATATTTAGAACAATTTTTAAATGGATTATACAGACGAAATACAAAGAATAATAACTAGACCTCTGCCCGGCCTCATTATCTCTCACTGCTTAGGAGAATTAAAATAGATGAATACAAATGAAATTCATTATATTTTCTTCTGCGCAAGTGCAATATTTAAAAAGAGCATATATCGTATAGAATCATCTTCTGCTAATTTTCGAGATGATACTATTTCTCAGATCTAACTTATGTTCTTTTTGAGTAATATTCAACAGTTTTCGAACGATACAACCTCCCATTTTGTCTCGAAACAAATATCATATTTGGAATCAGTAGGAAAAAAGTAAGTACACCTATGCGTATTTCAAATTAATTCTACGAGTTTTAGATGAAAGAGATTCATTGAATTTGAACGTGTGATTCGTATCAAACAAAATTGATTTTAATCTGAAGAGATAAATGAATTTTACTATTCAAATTCAGCTCATTTGGCATTTATGAAGAAAACAAATTTATGTTTTCTTTTTGCAAAAAATCTAATTGCATAAGATCTGATATAAATTGACTAAAATAATGAGAATCGATAAAAAAAAAAAGTTAATAGTCTATTTCATAATTTATTCATGAAGAACTTCTGACATACTAATACAACTAGAATGTTATTGAGGAAAAGCAAAGAACAATCTATGCAAAATATTTCAAGTCTTCTTAGAAAAGTATGAGGTTTTTAGTAAATATAGATAATCAATATAATAAAAAATACACAGTGTGATAGATCAATCAATATACTTACACCAAATTAAAACTTTCCACAAAGTTTTAGTGTTAAAAGGCTATTTGTCGTTCAATGTTTATCATCTATATTAGAACACTTTATCATGATAATGATCTATCATATATTACAATATTTGAGCGAGCTCGTCATTTAAAAGACGAATAAATATCTAATATCAATCACTCTTGATATGATCGACATATCGTTGACATCATTTTAGATATTATGGCATTCGCATCGATTGATTTTAGTTATATATAATCGATCGTACACAATGCTATACACCATATCTATGGAATCTAAATAGTATCCACTATTTATCCAGTTATTTTTCGACCCTCAGTCATTTAATACTTTGGGGAGTTACATTATTCACATCGAGATTATCATCAATGTATGAACGGGGAAAATGACGTACTCTTACACTCTCGAGACTACAGTGAAAATACGAAACTATAGCGAGAATAGAAACATGTGGAGTATGGGCAGAGAACGGTGACAGTATGTCGTTATATTCTTGGATTTAGATTTAGTTTTTTCTTAGTTATAAAACTGTAATCCAAGTATGCTTCAAGACTCCGTACTCAGTGTATTTTCATTGTACTCTTGTACACTGGGAACCATCTGAGAATGTTATTTCTCCTTTGGGTTCAATTCATTTCTTATTTCTTTTTCACTTGTGTCGATTTGCATACCGAGAATATCTATTTTATCTGCTGTTCCACATTTTACAAGGATTGTTCTCCTTGTTCTTCGTTCAAGTATCAACATCTAAATTCGATTAATAAACTGATTGATGAGTTTTCGGTCAATAAAACATGAAACTGCCAAGATAATTTCTAAACATATTTAGTTTTCGATCGATGTGAATTAGATTAATAGAAATAAGCCATCTATTACTATTATTTTAAGTGTTTCATAGTTAATCGAAGGATGAAATTTGTAATGCATATTTTATATGTAATATGATATGTGAAATTGATACATGTTATCAACGATTCGTCTGATAGGTCTGTGAAGTTCCTATATTATGACCGAGATTTTGGTATATGTATATCGAAGAATAAAAATAAAAATTTCTTCAATACACTTTTGTTGCTTTCAGCTTTCTTTATTGTTCACGTTGGATATATCATACGATGCATCGCACTGTTCGTTTTTTCTCGCTATCTATAATATATTTTAAAAGTAATAAAAACAGGAAAAACCACAAAAGAGAAAACTTATGTGGAGAAGCCCACAAGCAATCAAAGTTATTCCGGTCTAAAAATCTCTTAAAACTATTAACCTATCTGAATCCCTTTAGTCCTTTTAGTCCCTTTAATCCCTTGAAGGGTGTGAATGTATACTTTCTGTCTACGCACAGTCACAACCAATAAAAGTAGTTCTACGATGAAAAGAAATAGAAGATCATGGATAAGAATAATTAAAAGGATTAAAATACGTATATGAAAATTTATAGAAAAGTTTGACTGGAATAAATTTAATTTGTTATGGACCTGGAGAAAAAAAAAAGATAAAATATTTTAAAAGTTTATCATTTAAGAATAACAAATGAAAATAAATAGTTTTTGCTTGTCATTGATTGTAGTATATACAAAAATATAATATCATTGTTAGAGAAGCATTGTCTCACTTAACTATAAGAATATAAAAATCAGTTAGGATATTTTATAGTTTATATATTTATCAAAAAATTTCTGTTGACTGATGCAAAAGAGATAATGCCATTGCTCGAATATTTGTTTTATCATCGCTGGTACAACATTGTTTAACATAATTGATTTGATTAATGGAAATGAAACTGACAATGAGAGAATTTGGTATAATGAAATGGTTAACTCTTTTAATATTGATCGAAGAATACCAGCCATACCAATAAATTATAGTGGAAAACCATGACAACATGCTTTTAATGCATGAAAATCATAAATGTCTATCCGATCAATGGCAATTGATATTAATGGTGATATATATATATATTTATTTACTATTGATAATTCAATAAAATAACATTCGTATGAATAATTTCTTTGTATTGAATATAACTGTTGAGATCGAATCTTGTCATTCAATAAGTTGTAGAAATGTTTCATAAATCTATTAGCTGAACATGTTGTATGTGTAACAGCGAATGGATTGATTCGTTGGAAATTATATATTGAACATGATAAGGAATTGTACAATCTTAGGATTACAAATATTGTTTCAAATATCGATGAAATATTATTTATAAGAAATATCATGATTTATGAATAGAAACTATTTAAATAAAAAATGTCATATATAGAATTCGATGGTCTATCAAACTTCGAAGCTATGATAAATTCTGATTATAATAATGATAGTACTGGAATATATTGGATTGGATATGACGATTACTTACGTAAAGTAAATAGTAATAATGTAAATTTACTAGATGATGATATAACTAGAGATGGAAATCCAAATAATGTTTTTCATAGAAAACAAAATACAAATAGTAAGACTATGGTAAAATTTATCATTATCTTCTGCTTCTTTTTTTGTGTTTTATTTACTCCTAATAGCACTTTAGCTTAATAAGATAGAAAAGTAAACTCAAAAAAAAATCCATCTTTTTCATATTCTGTCACTATTGATACATTTGATATTTGATTATTTATGTAAATTTTCAAATATTCTGTGAGTGATTTCGAGAAAGTGAATAGTTTTTAAACGTTTTGACATTATTCATTGTTTGATACGATAGTTAATTACACTTTTTTGAAAAAAATAGATGTTATCTGCTCTACTATATCAATTCAAGCTTCTTTTTTATTACGCAATATGAACAATTTCATATAAAGATGTGCACAGTTACCGTACTTTACTCTGCATGGTTAGCTATTATAAGGGTAGAGGGTGTGGGTGAAGAGAAAACCTGCGTCCATGACCACACCCACACTCACGACGATATAAACAGTCGTTTATAATGATAACTATGTATTAGTGGTGATTGCGGATGTTCGTACGGCCAGCCGATGATCTAAGGCCACCTCTTTGAAAACTGGTATTTACTTCACTTAATTGAATTATTTCGGGTAATGATTCTTCTTCTTCTATCTATTAAAAAATAAGTCTTATTATTGACGGATTTATATAACAAAAATGTACTTTAGTTTCGTTTGATGATGCTGGTGGTATGGAATAACATTCGACTGGAAAATCAATTTAAATTAACAAAAATTTTCAAATAGAAATATTTACTATCGGTTCGTCAATGACGATAGTGTTGTTGGGTTATGCTGAATTGTTTGCATTTTTGTCCATTTCTGACATTAGATTTTAAATAATAATACTTCATTCAGGAACAATTCATCTAAAATTGAAATAAACTTCTTCATATTTTTTTATTTAAAAATATTTATTTAAGAAGAGTGAATGCAATAGTTCCTATAACGACTGTTATTCGAATATTCGCGGACGTTAGAACGATATATTTGTTCATTTCTGTAATACAGAAGTGATTCAGAACTGTTTAAACTAGTTGTAATAATTATTAAAATTTAAATGAATTTAAAAAACTAAAAGAACGATATTTGGTTTTGTTTTTAAAACTAAAATTGATTGATAATAGATGCTATAATGAATAATTAAACTATTAGAATTTAGAATTTTGTTACTTTTATACAAAATTTAAGTTTTTGTATATTGGTAAAATTTTTCTTCAGTCATTTATAACTCTTGATTATGTATCCTTAGTTATAAAAGGCAAATTTCTTTGATCGACCTGTGATCAAAATCAGATCATATTCATAATGGAGATAAGCTAACTGATAACATAAATGGTTAAATAAACGATGTGAATAATAAGACGCTCCCTATTTTGAACTGACTTCCACATCTAAAATATCTTCAAAAAGAGACAACTATGAAAATATTTAGACAAACTTGTCCATAAGTCTCACGTCGAAAACCTAATGATCCGTCACTGGCAGACAATCATAATAGAAATTGAATGCCTCTAACTCATTTTGCATCAACCTGTTTTTAACAAAAGGCGCTGTACTACTTTAAAGTTCTTAGTACGTTCTCAGATGAATTAATGCGAAAATCTCAGGTATTTTTAAGAAACTGACTTCAAGCAAAAAAATAGCTTTTGGTGCCAGACTGTTCACTAATAGGGATGAAGACTTGTCCCTTCAAATTTTTGGTAGAAAACGGATATTGAAACATCATTTTCTTTGTACTGGCAGAAAGTAAAATCAAAATAAGCCGACATTCTTGGTGTAAGATGAATAGGATTACAACACGCGAGAGGAGGGTGAGCACGATCTAGTTACAGACGAGTCTCGTTTGCCTACTTCTCCCCGTTGTCGCTAAATATTGATACTCCCAAAATGAGAATAGTTTCTGGCAAATTTTGAGCTATGAAAAAATCGAGAGTTCTGATGAAGGTACGAATAGGAGCAGGTCCTTTTTAAAGTTTATTCCTTCCTCTAAAAAATTGAGCTTGCGTCGTCTGTGATTGAGCAAAACTTTTAACACTATTAAATAGATCATAGTCCGAAATACATGTAGCACTATTTGAGTCTTGCAAAAGTACACTTTCGAGTTTTTTTTTCTAATGTTCTCCTGTTTGCTCATCGTATGTTTATAGTAGTAGAAAATGATACACGATCATTATATACTTTTATTATGTATTGTATTCATAGAGGACAGTTATTTTTTAGCATATTTCATTGTATACAATTATTCACAGATGTAGAACTTCCATCTGGAATAGTAATAAGTTGAGCAATCTTTAATTACCATTGTAGAAGTTATCCTACAGAAAATGTTTCTCTTTAAGGAAGTGAAATTGGAATCTTTAGCTTTTCTTTCTTCTTTTTCAGAGTAAGAAAATAGAAGTAGAGAGTTTATATTGAAACGTTCTTGCATTATCAATAGAAAATTCCACAAAATGAGTTATAGTTTTACAAGATAACGTAGTTTAGACAACGTATTATATATATATATCTTGGAAAGCAAATATGAGAATAAACGAGAGGCTTTTTTTTAATATTCTCTTCACATTATTGCTTAGTTGAACTCATCAAACCTATTGACTCATGTCATCAAATCCTTCTGTTTTTATACTCTTAATAAAAATGTCACTTTTTCTCTCTTAGATCGTTCTACATGTTGTTTCATATCATCGTTTTTTTTCAATATAATTCTCAATAAAAAAACTTTTATTATCTTTTTATTTGAGATTTTTCACCTACTTGCTGGACATATTCGGATAAAATATTTCCGATAAAAAAAAAAATCTTTCTCGAAAGATTTACTTTTTTGATTTTCTTTTCGAAATATATAACAGCACTAGTTTTATTATAATTATGTTCGCTTAACACAACAATCTTAACGAGAAAAATAAAAATGCTCTTGAAAGTTGTCATTAGAAATAAAAACTTTCTACATTTATCTATTATCCAAAAAAAACAAAAAAAAATGGTCAAATCGAACGAAAAAAGTTTTAAGACACATTGTAGATGATTGCTTTTGGAGGTTGATAACAATGAAATAATCTTGATTGATGTTGATAAATGAATTGCATCAATGTTCGTCGAAATGTAATTGATGAAAGTGAATAGATATAGAATCCAGCACCATCATTTATGTAACAACCAAAATCAACGAAACATGTTATAAGTCGTTCTACAGCCCAATAGACATCAGACATGTCATCATACCTAGGTGTTTTTATTGTTCGATGAAGTTTTAATATGGCGTAAGGTAAAGTGAAAGTAATAACACATGCTGTTTGAACGAGTGTCATCTTCTGTAAATCACGTACTCGATAGTCTAGAGATGATGATGATTGTCGTTGTCGAACATGGCATCGACGAATATTGTAAATAGTAAGCAAACCGAATGTTCCAATCAAAAGTGGATATAGAATAACATATGAAAGTAAAGTTATATCGAAAATAAAACGATATATATTACCATGTGCAGCCCAACATTCATTTCGATGGTCATAATTGATAGTAAACATATATAATATATGTGAATTAACTGCACAAGCAATAATAATAACAAGTGGCACTAATTTTTGAGCGACACGCAAATCAGCCCATCGACGATGTTTTACTTGATGACATGAACTTGCAAAACGATCAGCTGATGCAAGAGTTATTAGCAAAGTTGAAGCTACATAAGCAGAATGAGCTACATAAAATCGTATACGACACCACCAAATATTCGTTAAATGAATATTAATACCATGTTGAATAAATTGAAATGGTTGACTGAATAATATTTGAAATAAAGCAATACATGATGATGCAAGAAAATAATTACAACACGAACTTTCAATTAATGTTCGACGAGTAAAAAGAAAAACATTAAGTATATGACCTACCACACCAAGAATACATATTGGAGGAATACCATATCGATATATATTCTGTGTTATTTTATCAAATAACAATACAGTAGAATTTACAGATGATCGTGCCATTAGTTTTCCTAACCTTTTCTACTTTGTCTATGCCTATGTCTGAATAACTGAATGTATTGAGCTCTTGGCAAGTCAATAATTCATCTGTTACACTATTTCATTTCAATGTTACACTCAAATATTATCAACGATTATATAGTACTTCAATCCAAAACGTCAATAAACACTCATTTATCATAAACGTACTTACTTTTATTAGATATCCTATACGCAAATAAAATCATGGAATGATTAACAATTTTATTGTCAGTCATATTAAAAGAATTAATGACATCGTACACATTAGTTAGTCAAAGCATTGGGTAGGTGTTACGTCATTTAGACATTCAGTTTTCCATCACTCGAACGATTTTTTCTGATGACATTAAAATTGGATCAAAATAAAAATGGTTTTGTTCAATAGATGTCTCATTGTTGAGTTGTCGAAATTTATCGATTATAGATGGAAAAGAAGATTCGAACATAAGTACTTAACATTCAGTTTCGTCGAATTTTTTGGACTTGATCTAGATTTTCGAAAAAAATAATCAGGAGCAATTTTGAGACTGGCTCCTCTTCCCATCTCATTACATGAGAACTTAGCAACTGACATTAATGACAAGACTTAGAAAATGTTAGAATATTCCATAATCTTCCTTGAAATTAAAATAAACTGAAATACGTTTTTCCAATATTCTAACTGACACAGTTTCTAATATTTGTTCAGATAAACGATCACATCATACATATCAACTAATTAAGTTTTTGATTTTCGTCAATAATCAATATCAATGTTTTTAAGTTCATCGATACACATAATGGATGATTAAGATCTTGCTATGGATATAAACAATGTCTACAATAGACGTAGTTGTTCATTAAATCAATGATTAGACTAATAACAATAAATTATGAAAATGAAATAGAAAAAATATATAAAATAAATACCAAGCGAATAGCAACAAGATAAATAAAAAACAAATGCCAATAAAAAAAAAAAGATAACAAAAAGATACCCCCAGATAAGATCATAAATTTCTCAACTCACTTAAGCTTCACTTTCAATAGAATAGAAAGATAGAGCATGAAGTTCTATATATTTCTGTCTATTGGTTTTTTTGTTTTGTTAGATAAAAAACAGGATTTCCGTGGACTAAATAATCTTAAAGGATTTATCACTTTTCGATAATAACAATGGTAACGATAACTTTTTTCTTTTGAAAACTCAATATCAAAATCAATAGTATAGACTGACGTGATTTTTCATGTTCTACATAATGACATATCGATTATATTGTGCAGGCTCAGACAGGTTCGATATCGTACTTGTATGATCCTATCCAATCTGAGACGGATGTTAACAGTAAATATAATCACTATGTCAATTTGCAGCGCATAAAAAAATGCATCGATCGACGCTATTAGTTTTCATATTAGGTTTATAATAGAAAAATTATGAATATTATAATTGTTATTCGAAACATCCAAAACTGATGAACCTTCCTAAGACTATTTAGCCCACGAAAATTGTTTTTACATCTAACAAAGCAAACAAATAAATAGACAGAAATGCGGAAAATTTCATAGTCTGTGTTTTCATTCTATTGATAGTGAAAGTTAAGAGGATAACAGATTTACGATTTTATTCAGTGGTGTTCTTTATGTTGGCAATATAAAAATAAAAAAGACAATATTTGCTGATAATCGATCCGGAGATTTTGCACTCAGTATATTTTGTATTAGTATGATGAAACTAAAGAAGACATATAAATTCCACAGTTTAACCCGAAAGGGACTGCATTAACAAGCTTTTTTTAATGATTCAAAACGTGAAAATTTGTTATGACTGTGCTTTTATCAAGAACTGTGGCGGATTTCAGTCTTTTGTTCTTATCAGTTGATGTTATATATAATTTAGACATTTATTAAATTAAGATGCAATATATATCGAACATAAATAATACTGCTGAGATCGTTGAATAAAAGTAAAAGACACTTCATATTGGTTTTTGTGAGAAGTTTCACATAATCATAATTAGACTTAACAGTCGAAACTGTTATTGTGCTTAGTTTGCTTCTACCGAAGCCTTCAATAGCATCCTTCTGATATGTGGTTTTTTCTCGAACTGTCGGAACTTTCATAAGTTTCTAGCGATTGAAATGTGCCTAAAGGAGTCAGTGGTTTTCTTTCGATAAGTTTCCACTCGCCGAGTACTCAAAACTTCGATGAGTGCCGAGATGTTCGAGTAAGCATAAATATCGGATGAGATCGGCATATGAGCGTCGATGTTGGGTGGCCTTTGGGTATGAGTGTGGACGTGGGATAGGATGGGTTCTGGGTGTGTGTAAGAATAGCTATAGATATTTTCTACATCCTTACTGTCATCCACCATGGCACTCTTACAATTACACATTAACCCACTTCAATAGCTTCGCACTCCTTTTTAAATCCTCACAGAGTGAGTCACATGTTAAGAGCTTCTTTTTCTTTTCTGTTGCAGTGATTGGCTAAAGGATTGAAAACAAGTTGGTTTTTTCCAATTATACTATAGGGCACAACTACGCATTACTTGATGTTTTCGTCGAAGAAAAAAAAAAGCGAATATAAGTGCTCCCCTGCAAAATTTCCAAGTGAGCGAGGAACTCACTTTGAAATAATTTCGAAGATTGAAGGATTCAAATTTGCACAGAGCATCAAGGTACGATAATGTTACTGAATATTTGACAGTATAGTTACTGTTATTTTCATATAATTCTTTATCAAGATATTGTCATCAATAATGATTTGTCTAAGAAAAGTATTTTAAATAAACATACATATTTCATATAAAGTCTCGAATAAAATTGATTTGCTTTTATTTGGAATCAGCAGTAGTTTCGTTCCTTAATGTATCAAGACAAATATCATCGATGATTCTTGAGTAGTATTCTGATTCATAGTAACAAAATGCATAGAATTGCTACACCTGAATCATTCCCTACTTTTCAAAAATAACCGTTGTTACAATATTAATGTTTTCGCATCATTTTCGTATGAATAAGTGGATTTAGGCTTGGAATTGGCCTGATTGATTCGTTGATGTGTAAAAATTTAATTTTATAGTTAATTTTGTTTTCCTTTTAGCAATAGTAGTCTTAAACGAATAGGACAGCTTTTTGGTTATGTTAAATAATGATTTTAAATAGGACAACATCAAACTTTCCAATTCTTGTATAAAAATCGTATTGGTGTGGACTCCTGATCCAGTGAACTCGGAACCCGCTGTGGGTCCCCTTTCCTGGAAACTCGAAAGCTGGGTGTAGGTTCCCCTTCCCAGGAACCAAGAATTAGGTGAGTGGGTTTTCGTCCCTAGGAACTAAGAACTATGGGTGACCCTTTGACTGTAAAAATCCTTTAATGAAGTAGTTAAAGTTGAAGTAGAGACTGTTTCATTAAAGAAGAATTTTTTTAAGAAAAAAGCGATTTTTTATAAAGTTTGACCGAAGGTAGTAAGGTTGAGAAATCCGAATCTGAAATCAATTTCTTCAAATTTTGAATTTGACTTTTTTTGCGTAAAAGGTGCCACTCCTAATTCCGAATTCCCGTTCCTAAGAAGCCACACCTGATTTCGAGTTCTTGGAAAGGAAAATCCACACTCGGGCTCCCAGGAACGGGAACCCACACTGGATTCCGAATTCCTATGAACAAAACCCGAAACTGATAGCCTTAGCTGTCATAAAAACTTTTTCTCAAAAGAACCAATTGCTTAATTGACATATTAAGCGAATTGCTTTTTCACCGCTTTAGTCCAGAGTTGAGATGTGAGTGGATGTGAGTAGGTATGTAAGCAAGCATAAGAGTAAAGATGAGATCCAAGTCCGTCCTGATTTATCGACATTGACTCATAGTCCACCTCTCCTCAACCCTTATGTCTACTCTCATTTCTCTATACCTATACCTCGCGGCTCCATTTTTTCTTCTTCGTCAAATCCGTAGAGACTCATACATTACAGGTGAATAAACACATCTTTTGAAGTGAAGCAGAAATAAATGACACATGAAAAGAACTATTCTATTTTCTTTCTCATAGAAACATGCATGGTGTACAGTAATTGTTTACTGATAAAATTTTCAAGCATATTTTCTATGAATCTGTTGTTTATTATTATTTTGAAAATGATTACTTTTGATTCACCGACTGTATTTAAATGGAAAAAATTCGATATAGTCAAGCTATTTGTAGCAATCAATGATAAAGAAAATGATTATCGAGAAAAAAGAGAACATACGTACAGTCAAGTTCTGGAAACATGCCGTGATCTTCTTAAAAGGCCAGGAATTCATTCAGTGATCTCAATGAAAGCAGCTGGATTCACATATACTAATGTTGGAGATACCGTTCGGTGTGATCAATGTAAACTTGAAGTATCCAATTGGACGGCAACTATGAGTCCTTTCGGTATTCACGCCGAACGTTGTCCAAACTGTAGTTTTGTTCGCGCAATGCAACCATCAAAAGATTCTGTTCTCTTTCCGTCCACTTTTCCACAACTAATGGAATCATCGAATGAGAAAGAGAAGTCTTCTATATGGCAGAAAACCGAAGAAAATCCTAGAGAAAGAAATACGTTTGGTACATTGAAAGAAGTAGATATACTCAAACAAGTACGTTATCGAACTTTTTCACATTGGTCTCATAGTCATGCACCATCTCAAGTACAAATGATTGAAGCTGGATTTTTCAGTTGTAATATTGGTGATCGAGTTATTTGTTTATATTGTAACCTCATTTGTCAACAATGGACATCGAATATAGATAATCCATATGAAGTACATAAAATTCTATCACCTAAATGTCCTTTTGTAAAAGCTATGCTTCTACATCGTGATGAATCATCTATTCTTATTATCAATGAAAGTTCACTAAGAAATAATTCCCAAACAGTTAATTCTCATTTATTTCATTTAAATGAAATCGTTCATACGACCGCTTGTCATGCTGATTATATTGAAATTCCAAAACGTCATGCATCCTTTCTGAGTTGGCCCAAAGAAAATGTACCTTCGGTAGATGATCTTGTTCGCGCTGGATTCTTCTATACTGGTAAGAAGACAATTGTTACTTGTTTCTATTGCAATGGATCATTACAAAATTGGGGTTCAAATGATAATCCAACTATTGAACATGCACGATGGTTTCCTCAATGCAAATATGCTAAACAACTCTGTGGAGATAAACTTTATCGAAAAATTCAACAATCAAAATATATTCAACAAGGTTTATTCATGATCTTTTATAGAACGGAAAACAAAAAAATAAATAATTCTTTTCTTTTCTAGAACGTTCAAGAGAAACTAATTTAGTTAATAATTCGAATTCAAATAATCAGAAAGTAGAAAAACAAGATGATAGTACTTTATCACGATTGGTAGCTGCTCGTTTAGATTTGTCAATATCACAACGATTGATTGATGAAAATTTCAAATTATCGATAATCAAACGTTGTTGGGAAGATCAATTTCGATTTAAACGTAGATTTACAGACAAAAACTAAATCGTATTTTTCAACTAAATAATTCCATTCGTTTTTCTATTTTCATACCGTAGGAGACGATTTTCTAACAGATTGTGATCTTTTAATAGCTTGTCTCATTCTTCAAAAACAAATTGAACATATTAGTGGTAACAAAGACAATATTATTGTACCTAGTATACAAATGAAAAAAATTCGCCAAAGAGAATATCAAGGTATTTTTATTTAAAAAGAAAACGAATATAATATGATTTTACTGATATTTAATTAATAATTGTATAGAAGTTCAGCCTGCATTATCATCACTTTCATCTGATCCATCAAATAATCCTACTATTAACATAACTTCATCGACTCAATCTACAACTAATGAATCTAATTCAATAATAGCAGTCGAAACAAACAAGACTGAAATGACAAAATCAGAAAATACACGTTCGATGAATACTCTATTTGAGCTGATGCAAACGACAAATTGCTCGTTAAAAAATCCGTGTGCACTATGTATGAGTGAAGAAAGACAACTTGCATGCATTCCATGTGGTCATATGGCTACATGTGTACCATGTGGACATTCACTTCGATTATGTCCTATTTGTCGACAACCTATTGACGCTTTTATTCGAATTTACTCATGAAAAATCCTATCTATTTATCGTTGATTTCAGTTTGACACTTATTAATTATTTTACAAATAAATACATTTTAACCTAGATTTATATAAAAATTTCTAATGTCATCCCTATTCTAAATTTTGTGCTTCGGTTAGAAAGCTGTCTACGTAACATCTATCGGACTAAAATGTGAAACCCGATGAGAATACTAAAATTACAAAAAAAAAGGGAATTTGCCAGTATATATTGTAGTTTATGAATTACTACCTTCTCTTGATCCAGGTCATTGATGAAAGATGATTATCGGAATTTATTAAAGTTAGTGCGAAAGAAGAATAAATGAGAGCTATCTTAAAGGACCCTCTTTCCTCAGTTTCTCAAGAACGGTTCGGCGAAAGTTTTTGAAACTTTCAGGGTCGATAGATCTTGATGAGTAGAATAAAAGTTGTCATAGACTCTAAATTGTCAAATGCTTCTTTTCACGAGATCTTGAGAGGTCAACGACTAAAAATAACCTGAAATTTCTCCCCTCCCGGAAACATCCATACTACATTATTTACGACTGAAATTTTTTCTATATCAATTAGGAATAAATTGAGTGCGTGTTTTTTTCCTTTGAAAAATATTGTTCCTGAGGCTCAGGAGAAGCAAAACAATGGAGATACTATCAAAAAACCATGAAAAAAATATTTTCTTTTAAAATGGTGCTAAATTTGCAAACTCTTCCAAACTTGATAGGCATAACATTTTCAGGAAAAAAAAAACAAGTATCTCAATTTGATCGAAGTGCTTATTAAAGAAAGTTTGAGCTCAATCGGTCGAACCATCTAGTAGAAAAGGGAAGAAAACTTGAATTTTTCGTTTAAAAATCTGATTTTGAGAATATCGCAATGAAACATGCACTTTTTGGCTTGTTTAGCATAGAACTGAGGTTTTTTCGAATTTTTTATATGCGAAAAGATGATTGTATCTTCTTAAAATGTGCTCATTAGATAGAATGCATTTACATCTATATACTGAACATTAAAAATAAAAAACGAAAAAAACTGAAAACTTTGGGTCGGGAAAAGGGTCCCCTTAAATTCAAATGTTCCCTAGACTGTAAGGATAGAATCTAGAAAGGGAAATTCACCTTTGTCTGTAATATCGTTACCATATGATAAATATGATCTAAATGATCATATGGTACACATGACTGTGTATAACAAGGTTGCCAGATCTTCTGAAAAGTTAGAAAAGCTTCTGAGATTTGAATATTTTTCTGAATTTTTTCTGATTGTGTCCTTGCTTCTGATTTTTTTTTGTAGATAATGGGTTTATTAATAAAATAAATAATGATTATAACTGATTACTACAGTAGATCAGTATTGGGTCGTCTTTAATTCTTTCTTAATCAAAGGTAGTTTCTAAGTCGTATAACCACTGACGAACAATGTAACCTACTGATAAATCTTTGCATTACTGAATTTAACACAAGAAGGAATGATAACTATTCTTATGAAATATTTCAACACGAAAACATTTATTGAAGCACATTCAGACAAATGAAAAACATGAAGAATAAGTATGAAATCTGTATTATATAATCTTTTTTCTTTTTTGAAAGATTTATTGATCTATATAATTTATATATATGATTTTTTTTAATATTTTTTGTGACGAAATTTTGAATTTGGTAGAATAATTCAGGAATAGACATTTTTTCTTGGTGTTTTTTTGTATTAACTAAGCTGGATATTGTTTGTATTGCTTTTTCTTGCTGTGAAATACTTTTGGAAATAAAGTATCAATCGAACAAAGAGAAAAAAAGAGAAGCATTACGTATCAGTATGCCAAGATAATAGCTATTGCTTTTCAAAAATTGATCTTTTTGATTCGTCTCTGATTTTAAAAACAAAAATTTCTAATTTCTAAGTTTTTCATCTGACAACCCTGATGCTCATTCTTGTACACAATTCCATGAAATGGCATTTAAAAAAATTTTTACTCGAATGATTTTTATCCTGAAGAAAAAAGACTTTTTGCCATTTGAAACATATTTGCTGTAAAAAAAAAAAAAGAAGTATTCTTTTATTCTATCGATCGTGTTAACGCACGTTGATGACTCACGTTGGAAAGGACTCTTTGAAAAACAAGACGCTGTGTAAGCCAAAAAAAAAATAAATGAAAATTTTTGTTCTGTAATGTCTCAACATAGGTAAATAAACACATCAGATTACCCACATTCGTTTTTTTTTCTTTTTTTCGTCCGTTAAAAACATTTCCACACAATACGCGTCATGTCTGCTTGCTCTGAAACTAGACCATTTAAATCTATGTCATTTCCTACTGATTTGGACATGATCAATCATGATATAAATCAATTATTTCTTCATTTGATGAATGATTTAACCCCAATGGAGAAACCAGGACCAATGAGTGGACGATGTGAGCTACAAACTTCTCAAATGGAGACATTCTTAAAAGAAAATTTTGATTTTGAGAACATTCCTGATGAATATATTGTTCAAGGAGTTAGATCATTTCGAGTTGGTCGATTACCATCATTAGAATCTATAGATGAGAATTTAATTATCAAATTTCCATCTGAAACATATGAAAATCCATTTGAAATGACAATTGGTGAAATTCGAAAATGGCAACAATCATATGTTGTTTATGCTTGTCAAGATAATGATTTGTCTATTGATAAAGAATTTCTTCAACAAGCTCTAAAAGGTCAAAGTAAAGATGGAGATGAAGCATTTCGTATGAAATTCGTTATTCGAATGAGTACATGTCCAATATTAATGGAATTCGATGGTCAAGTCATTCCACGAAAATTAGAAAAGACATGGCCTAATCGAATTAAACTTGTGTCTGTTACTGGTATTGATTTTGCCGGACGAAAACATGACATTCAAGATATTTATACGTATTTGACTAATTGGAAGGATGTTTATGCGCTTGATCCTTGCACAAACCAACCATTAGTATACGGCGGACGAGACTTTTTTCCTAACAGAAATGTTCGTGGTGTACTTGATGAAAAACGTTTATATAATGATTTGATTCGTATGGCTCGTTTACGACTTCGTGCATGTGATTATCAAGGCGTACAAATTGTTGTTGAAACAGGTATTGGATTAGGTGTCTTTGCTGGTCGACAAATTGGAATTGATGATAAAACACGTTCATTTACAGCTCGAGCTATAAAACAAGTCATTGAAGAAGATGGTTCTAAGTATACAAATATTAGAGCAATTGTATTTGCTTTACCTATTTTCGAAATCGATGAATCAACATCAACATACAATTGTTTTATTGATATATTTAATAATGGATATTCAGGATCGATACCTATTTTGATCGTTGATCAAGATATGCATCGTTTAACAGTTGCTATTGCAAAACGAGGATTTTTCGTTTCTGAACTTAATCCAGCTGATTCACACGGTGTTTTTGGTGAATATTGGCAAAATCGAGGACCTGCTGTTGAAGAAAAATTAGCATTAACAACCGTAGGACTACTGGTACAACATCACTTGTTCAATGAAAAACATGTTTTGAATTCTGATAATTACAATTTTATGGCTATTGATGATAATCTCTCTGTCAACACAGTAGTATCAACACCAACATCATATATTAATGTTGGACAACTATTACAAAGTTTGCAAGAAACAGTGGGACGGATAGGCACATGGATTATATGGATTTTATTTTTATTTCGTAGAAAACGTGACGATGATCATATTGTTTAATTTACTCGAATATACAACCAACAAATATCTTTTTCTATCATTATATATCATTGAACGATTACTGTCTACGAATTGTATTATTAATAAATATTAACGACATTTGAACATTGTTCATTTGTCGTTAGTTCATATACTTTAGAAATAATTTCGCACTTAATAACATACATATATAAAAGTTAAAAGGAAAGAATCATAGATATCGACGAGATATAGAAGATAAAAGAGTTTTTCAATATGAAATATCTTATACAACAAAATATCATCATCTGCTCTCATGAAAATGAGAGTGACCATTTAGATGATAGTAGAAATAATATCCAGCTATCCCCGCATGATCAATGATAATTGTGATTGTTTGAGTTTGCAATGATAAGTTTGGATCTTCTCTTCATCCTTACCTACACTCACAACAGGATGCGAAAATGCTACGTGTTAGAAAAAGTAAATGTTTGTTATTTGTTGTTTTCTATTCAATATTAAGAGACGAAGATGAAAAAAGTAAAGTACGAAATAAACTCTAACACAATTAATATAGAAATGAGACGAGCAATGAAATAGAAATCATTAGTCAATGAATTATTATGCGATTTATTCACTGGATTATCATATGTTCTTCAAATCATTTTTCAATAGTGTTACAATGAAAAATATATCTATTAACACTAGTTATGAAGATAGATTGGTTATTAATCAATTTCAAATTGACAGATGCATACGGCACTAGGTTTTTTTCTTCTTAATGCAAATATGATATTATTTAGAATTCAATCACCACCGCAATTGTACTGATCAAAAACATCTATAGATTATCGATTTCAATGTTGAACTAATACAAGCAAGAGGTTTCCAAATTGTATCATTCACATAATATCTCAACGACCATTTACTCAATTAGTGTGACTTCACATTAATTATTGATTTTTTTCTGTTCTCGTATGATTAAAAAAAACACTGTAAACAGTTAATAAATAAACTTCATCATCTAGTCGTTTATGAGTCACATTTTGTGTCGATGAATGCAATTACTCAAATACCAAGTGCATAAAGTTTATCTCTAGCGAAAAAAAAATATTGCATAAATAGCATGTAATTACTGATTTTTTTTGCGAGCACACAAGATTTTCACCAGGTTGTTATGTGTAATAAAAAAGAAATGTTTTTTTTTTTCGTCTTATTCTGTGTTCGACACATTTCATATCGTGCTGTTATAACGAATGATGCATTCTGCATCACTCGAAGTAAATGCGACCAGCAAACATGGTTTAGATTACATAGTATCCGAAGGACAAGAACCTCCTGTAGAGATTCCTGGTGATGTCTTTGATCGACAACGTGTTATGAAAGATTTTCATCAATCTTTAATTGAAAAACAATGTGTTTTTGTATTAGGAGTGGGTGGTATTGGAAGTAGTATTGCCATGTGTCTTGTAAGAATGGGTGTTGATACTATTCATTTATTCGATCGTGATTATATTGAAGCATCAAATTTAAATCGACAAATTTTATTTAGTGTAGGTGATATTGGTCGATCCAAAGTAGAAACAGCAGCTCAACATTTGAAAGAAATACATAATTTACGAACTAATATATATCATTATCATATCGATGCTGTCAAAAATTGGTCTTGTGTGGTCGATATAGCAAAAAAATCAACAGTTATCTTCAATAATATCGATTATGGAGCTGTATTTGATTATGCGATTAATTCATTATGTAAATCATTAGGTATCATCTACGTATCTGGTTCGACATATGCTAATAATATTGATATTAACTTATATTCGGGTTTATTAAATGATCCATGTTGGGCATGTGGGAATCTTACTAATGATTCATTCAAGTTTACAAATCAAGAGTTAGAAAATTTCAATGATATTTCATCATTTCTCAAAGAAAAGTGTTATATATCAGGTGAAAAATTCGAATCTATTATAGAAGAATGTTTGAATGAATTGAATATTGTATCACCTTCCCGATCACAATTCTCGACATTATTTATGCCTCTCTATCAGAAAAAGGTACTTGAATTATTGTTACCTCAATCTATAGAGAATTTTCAATCGATTGAGTTTATTCCTAAAGATAGATCATTTCCAACAAGAACAGTTGGAAGTTGGATTGGTGTCTGTGTATCAGGATCCTGTTTGATTGTTAATACATGGGTACAATATTTAATCAAAAATAGAAATTTGACTTTCGATATGAATAAATCGTTTCATAATTGGATGCAAATCAATTTATCAATGTTTGATGGTGGTTATTATACGACTGGATTTCCAAACCAACAAGACCTTAATTGTCCCATCTGTTCTAATGTTAAGCAAATAGCAGAACGAAATTCATAACTATTCAAATGGAAAATGGATATATCATCGAATTAAATTGACTTTTTACTATGAAAATAAACAGATTTGTATAGAGTTTGAAAGTTTATGCACTACAATACATGATTTTGGTTGGTGTCGATGCGCTATTGAAAACAAAAACCTATCAAGAATCGTCTATTTTTCTTTGTCAACTTTGTTTAGTGTTTCTTGTCTGATCTCTCCATTGATCATCGGATAAAACTAATAACACGACTTATCCTAGATTTATTTCGGCACAAACAATTGACTTGAACAGCGATCAATTCGAAATGACTGATACATAAATACTCAGATTTTCTCACGTAAAATTTCTCGGAATCAAAGTCAAATAGTATTTAAACAAAAACGGATAAGCAGAGGACAATGAAAACGAATGATCGACAAATCGTCTTCAACTTTAGATTCATTAAGTGAAAATTCTAGCTGATGAAGAAAATGGTTTTACTTCGTTTTTTCGTTTGTATCTGATAATGATTACAGAAGAGTAACCACAATAGTGTCAAGACGATCATGGCTTACATCAGTTAGACAAGTGCATCGTTTCGCTACCATTAAGCAAGGTGTTGTATAGAAGAGTGAACGAAATGGTAATAATCAAACTTAACAGTGAATAGAAAATAGATAAATCATTACGGTGTAGATCTCTCACGTATTTAAAAAACGTGTGGCAAATCGTGAAAGAAATCGACCTAGTCCCTTCCTTAGAGAAATACAGGAAATTCATTGACTCTTTTATTGCCTCGATTCTTCTCTTTTCATTTTTCCAAATTTGTGACTATTGAATCATTTCTCAGCACGTACTTATTGATCCGTAGTCGATTCTGATATTTACATATGACGCCAAATTTCCATCTTGCACGAAATAGCAGAGACCAATCGATTACATATGCACTGTTCACGAGAATATTTATCGTGGATTCCCTAAAAATCTAAATAGATTGCGTGGTTTTTTTCCGAAAAGGTTCAAGTAGATTTTCAACTATTACTAATATATACTTTCTCTTTCAAATTAAATCTCGACAAAATGACTGAGCTTCTCAGAGATGACTAGTATCAGTGAGACCAGAAGTCTTTTTCGAGCTTAAATCGAGGTTTTTGCGTCTTTCTCAGACTCTAGCAAACGAGAGGGAACTAAAGATTATTAGATACGTCTCCATAGCGATAGAGTCGGAGGTGGCGAAGTCAATGATCATTCGGTACGTTTTCCTAGCAAGGAAAAAAGACAGATCAGTCATAACAATGCTTACATTATTCAGGAACTTTCCTAGAATCTTCCAAAGCGTTCTACGAATCTAAGATTTCTACTTTAGATTTTAACTAGTGTAAATATTGCGGCTTTTAATATTTAATGTAGCGAAAAACTCTTATTGTAGGTGTCAATCAGTAGAGCGATGGTTTTACGGATCTAGCAGAGTCAGAATAGGATGGACATAGAAAAGTATAAGCTAATCAAATTCTAAGTTTACGCAAAATTCAAGAATATATGTCAAAGTTTGTCGCGAGAAAGGATGATGTGCTCAGAAGATTACTGACCGATAAAATGGATATATATAGCAGACTAATATGGTAGTTGAATTGACAAAATGAAGAATAATATGATACTTGCCCCATTGTATGAGATGTATCTTATAGAACAAATAATTTGTTTCAGTGTAACAATATTAAATCAATTAAATAAATTGGTAGAATGGTTATTTTAAATGCAAACATTTTTGCAAATGATAAAATTTCAATGCACCTATCAACTATAAAAATTGTTATCATTTTGATTTATTCATTCAAATTGAAATTTTTTTTTTAAATAAATTATAATAATCAGAGTTTGTAAGTTCCATACTTTGATTCCTAATGGAAGCGCACTGACAAGTTGGTTTTTAATGTATCGAAAATATACCATCCTGTTAATTTTGTAAGTTTTATAAGCAAAGAACATATATAGATTTAGATGACTTGCACAACTCATCAAGTAAGTTCGAGAGTCATATGGCATATTTTTCTTCAGATTAAGTTACACTGGCTTTTTCCATTGAGATTTATTTTAATTCTTCTTCTATATACGATTGCTTTATTGTGTGGTTTTTCTCTTCGATAGCAACCAACCTATAGTCACATATACATTCACTCATACCTAGTCAGTTCAAAAATAAAGTCATATTTCTAGGATATCGTTGATTTAAATCAACACTAACGTATTTCTCTTTATGCAGGGAAGCAAGTACGTTATAATAAAAAAAGGGTTGAAATATGTTATAAATTATCGATGAAATATTTGTTCACATATTGTCTTTTTCTTACATCTATATGTAAAAGATAACGATATGAAACGAGAAAAAAAAAAGACAAGAATAACCTTTAACCGATATCTTCTCATTAGATGTAAAGAAAAAAAAACAACACAGAAGATGATAAAAAAGAAACTGGTTCTATTCTAAATTCAACTCCGACATTCGTCTATTTGATATTATTTTGGAAAGCGATTAAACATTATTTCTTATTAATCTTTCAAAAATATTTTATATCAATGATGATAAAATCTTCTAAAATCTTTTATAAAGTTTTTTATTTAAAACATTTAAATTCTATTTCACAATATTCAACAAAAAATTCCTCAATACCAATTATAGATTTAACGAAATCATATGAAAATAAAAAATATCGTAAAGAATTAGCTGAACAAATTGATGAAATATGTCAAAATATTGGTTTTTTTATTATAACTGGACATTTAATTGATGAAAAAATTCAAAATGATATGATAAATATATCAAAAGAATTTTTTCATTTACCATTAACAATAAAACGAGAAATTACTGGTTCAAAAGATTATCCTTATGGTTATAATGGATTAAATGATGAAAATTTATCACGTGGATATAATCATTCATCATCATATTTATTACCAGATTTAAAAGAAAGTTTTTCTATTGGACCTGAACATGAAGGAAAAATTCGTTGGCCAAGTAAACCTTTATTAATGTCTTCAATTTGGTTAAATTATTATAAACAATGTCATAATTTATCTAAACATTTATATAAATTATTTGCATTAGCATTAAATTTAGATGAACATTGGTTTGATAATAAAATTAATGAACATCGTTCAGCATTACGTTCATTATATTATCCATCATTTTCATCATCATTACCAGAAAATCAATATCGTTCAAGTCCACATACTGATTATGGAGCATTTACTATTTTAAAACAAGATTCTATTGGAGGTTTACAAGTACAAAATCGTTTAAATAATAAATGGATTGATGTTCCTTTTATTGATAATAGTTTTGTTATTAATTTAGGTGATTTAATGTCCAGATGGACTAATGATCATTGGGTATCAACACCTCATCGTGTCATTACACCTTTAAATAATAAAATAAATGATCTATATTCATCTCGTCAAAGTATTGCTTTTTTCTGTCAAATTAATCCAAATGAAATAGTTACTTGTATACCAACATGTTCTTCAATTGATAAACCACCGAAATATCCACCGATTAAATCATGGGATTTAATTATGCAAAAATATTTATCATCAACTCAAAAGAACTATTAAAAAAAATATATATATTATACTTTTATTCGATTATTTCATCATTTATTTACAATCATTTATACATTTAACAAATTAAAATAAACTTAACTATATAATTTATTCGAAGAAAAACTAATGATACACATTAACAAATGAAATGTAAATCATTATTTGAACGAAAAGAAAAACATATAAGAGAACAGGATATTTTCGATCGTTGTAGAGGTTTTAATAAAGTGTCATCGTGAGCGTGTCTGTTTCTCCTCTACTTACTCCACACCCACATCCTGACTCTTTTTAGCTGTGCGTAATTGTAAGAAAATTTATTGTGAATTAAGTCTGCTCATTTGATAAAGTACTAAGTGAAATATTCACTCTCAATATTTTCACGATGAAATTTTCTAATCTAATTTAAAAGAGTCTTTTAATCTCGTTCTTGTCCGTAAGCAATTAAATAAAGAAGCGCTTTGCACAAGTTACTATGTTTTTACTCAGAATGATAATCACATATATTGAGTTTTTTCTATTGAGAACATACATATTTTCAAACAATCTGCACTGATAAATAAACAAAACTATTTAGTTATTAGAGCTGCCATCTTTTCAGTAGTAAATAAATTATTATTCGAAATAATAAGAATGATTTGTTGATCACTTGAATAGTATTTTTTATTTGATTGATCGTTTATAAATAAATTTAGAAGCTAAAACAAAGACTTGGACAAGTTATTAAAAAATGTCAATTCGAAATAAATAAGTGGAATTACATCTGGATAAAACTAACAGATTTTTTTCATATAAACGAAAACGCTAATTCCAAAAAAATCAAATTGAATTTTCCAAAAGCAAATTCATTATTCGTAATACGTCTAGTTATATCTAAAAGGCAACATTATAGGATGTCAAAACAATCTAATAGGTGATTGTATTGCAATATGGTTCGTGATTAAAGGCATGTTGACACATTTCGTCATATTTCAAATGTGAAGAAAAACAACAGTTTGAATTGCACACGTCCTTCTGTCAGAGAGAAATATATCCATTCAAAAGTAAATATACTACTTTTTCTAGTACAAAACATCATGGTTATGGTTTGAAATTACTCATTTTTCATTGATATGAAATGAACTTAGTTTGGTGTCTATTTTCGAATTTCTCAGATAAAATATTAAACTTGTAGCTGAGAAAATCAAATTGCATTTTGGATATGTTTGGATAGTTGCATCGATGACACAACTGATAATTGAAGTTTTTATCCATGCAGTTTATTGATTTGACAAGTTTTTTTTAACAATGTCAATTGCTCATTCTCAAAGTAAATAGAATTTTTTTATCAGGTAAATTCAAAATGACGTCATATGTACAGGATGATCCAAAAGTAATCCGACAGTGTTTGATTACGAATAACTTCTGATAGGAATAAGAGAGAGCTGCGGTTTTCATCGTTCGAAAGAGGAGATGAAGACGCATCGAATCATATATTATATGCTTGTTCTAAGATGTTTTCTTAACCAATTTTCTGAGAAAATTGCTAGAAAATGGTTTCTTATTAAATAAGAAAAAGGCAAAAAGAAATGATTTTTTTACATAAATTCATAGAAAAATTGGGTCAGAATTTTGAGTAAAATACCTAGAATTTCTCAAGGAGTAACCCTCAAACTCTGGCCTTTGCACAGTTTTCTAGGTTTTTGACTAGCAATTCGAATGTACATCTCATCATTAAAAAATTCAATTTATTCTCTTTACGGAGTACATTGCTTTCCAAAAACATCGATTTAAGTCCTTGAAGAAAACCTAGGTCAAATTGTCCAACTACTGTACAGTTCGATAGGTCTTCATCTCCTCTTTCGAACGATAAAAAACCGTAGCTCTCTATAAACTCTGAAGAGAATTTCACTAAAATATACTCTTCAACCTTTAATAATCATGTTTTTGTTTACTGATATATCTATTTTGTGGATGCCACGAAAATGATGATGTGATAAGGCTGAAGAAGAAATATTCGTAACCATGGAAATTTTTTTATTTATTTCAGTTTAAGTGTACATCATGTACCTCTTTTATAATTTTATCAATTTAATTGAGAATTCTCTGATTTTTTTCGAGTATTTTAGTATAAATCCATAATAGAATTTTTTACAACGAGTTTAACTGTTAAAAGAATATCAAATATGAACAAATAATCAGCATTAAAAAAGAATGATTTATGTGAATCGTGTAATGTTTATTGTCAATTGAATATTGATCGATCTAGTTATCTACTTCGTGGTCCTGGTATTTGATTAGCCTGCTCGACTGAATTAGAAGCAATGGGTTCATTTGAACGTTGTTGTCCAGCAAAGTTATTTGGATAATATGGAACATTTGATTTCGGTAGTCCACGCCCGTGAACAAAATTATCTCCGACATATGGGTTCGCTGATCTTACATTAGGATTTCGATACATATTCCGAGGATAATTATAGTTATAGTTCATAGGATAAGGATATTGTTGAGGATTATAACCATATTCTAGAAGAAGGAGAGACAATATTACAACAAAATGAAGTAATAAATCAAATAAATCACTCACGATTATATCCATAATAATTATTATTATTAGGATAAGGAAATTGTGGAATATAGTTTTGTCTGAATTGATTCCAACCTTGAGTAAATTGATTTATACCTTGATTGAAATTTTGTTTGTATTGATCCCAATTTTGACCAATCTGATTAACACCTTGATTGAAATTTTGTCTGTATTGATCAAAATTTTGACCAATCTGATTAACACCTTGATCGAAATTTTGTCTGTATTGATCAAAATTTTGACCAATCTGATTAATACCTTGATTGAAATTTTGTCTGTATTGATCCCAATTTTGACCAATCTGACCAATACCTTGATTGAAATTTTGTTTGTATTGATCCCAATTTTGACCAATCTGATTAACACCTTGATTGAAATTTTGTCTGTATTGATCCCAATTTTGACCAATCTGATTAGCACCTTGATTGAAATTTTGTCTGTATCGATCGACATTTTGATACAATGAGTTGCTAACAGAACTGACAGCAGGAACCACATGGTTACGGATAATATTGTAGCCACTCGAAATAAGATTATTCACATCTTGACCTAACGTATTCCCCGTAGCCTGTCGTCGCTTTCGGAGAGCTCGACCATTGATTACTAAATTTATTTATGTTAGAGAAGAATTTCAATGTTGAATTCTTTTGCTTCGAATGAGAATCTAGACGTCATACGCGTTTTTTAAAAACAGAAACCACATACTGAGTTTTCATGAATTAGAAATCATACTTGAAATTTCTTTTCCTTAGCGAGTTTCTATGAGGTTCTTCATTTTTTTTCAGAACTCAGGAACACATAGTGATTTATCACGAAATGAAAGAAAAGATATTTCTAAACACCTGAGGGAATATCTAGAAATTAATTGTCTAGTATTTTCACGCTCTTTAAGAAGCGTGATATCTCTAATTTTAAGTAAAATTTTGATGGAAATATTGATGTTTACCTGGAATTGATAAGATTAATAGAAGTAGAAATATTTTGATTCTGGACATTTTGATTAATGTCATATGTTATTTGGGAGAAAATGTTTGTGATACAATTTTTTCTTTAGCTTTACGATGAATTACTTTGATTTACGTCTTGTTCGTTCTTACTAAGTTGGATTTAATGCGATGCAAATGCCTCATTTTCAATCAAAATTTGGTTCTTTACATATTACTTGCATTTATTTTCAACGGTACACTTTTAGAGAAAAAATGCAATCAACCTTTTTTATTGACAGTCTTATGTACATATTTATATACACGATAATATATATCACGTTTATACCAATTCGCTTTGCTTTCAGATTTTCTTTTATTTGTTTTTGTTCTGAAGTAAATCATCGAATATTTTCATTAGCTATCGGTAGATTTATTTTCTACGCCATTATGTTGAATTACATTTATGCTTCGAAATATTTACTATTAAAAGAAAAAGAAAAAAAAACACAGTATTATAGAACGGTTAAGAGTTGATTTAGAATACGAACATCTAGAACTATATAAATACGTAACTAAAAAAAATAAATTTGATCAATAGTCAATCTATGGATTTATTACATTGATAGTGCATTACTCTTCTCTCATTCTCGTTGATTGATTTTCAAAGGTCAAAGATCTACTACAACGTGATAAATGCATAGAAATAATTTTTTTTTCTAGACGATCTACTTTTTTTTAAAGAAAGAAAATATCTCAACTGAACTTCTTTGAAAAACTATATATCATTATTGATTCAATTAGATAATAAAGAAAAAGATTCGATCGTAAAATGTTATTCAGACTTTTTCTCAAATTAACTAGATAAATACATCTAATAAAAGCTTTGATTTACGATCATGAAATTTCACTGTTCATTTCAATTTCGTCAAGAGTATACGTGTTTCTTTATCACTTGCACCACTAAGTGTACTAAACTACTTCCAGAAAAATAATATTCTAGCCAACGACAATAGTTTGATTAATCACTAATTTCAAAAAAAAAGAAAAAGCATTCAAAAATTCTTTTTCCATTAGTATCATCCATCTGTAGTCATTGACAAGCTATCAGAACCATTCGAATAGCACCGCTGAATGAATTTTTTGTTCTTCGTTCGTTGAGTTCTATTGAGAGTTAAGATAAGCTGAGTAATCCTCTTTTATAGCTAATTCCTTGAAAAATATACAAATCCTGATCGAAAATATTCTACATACTTGAATAATAAATTCTTTTTACATTTCAAATAGAATTGTTTGAGGTTCCTTTACTCAGAATGTAGACCAGGCAGCAGATTTCCAAGTACTATAAAATCTGCCTTACTTCCTAGTTGCAGTGATTTGGAATGTGATCTCAGGTTTTTACGTTAGATTTGTCACAAAATGGAATAAAAGACATGCCTAAAGAGTTCAACATGCTCAGAAACACGTTTAAATGAATATTCAAGCGTGTGTTCATATATCTCAGAAATGGAATTTCAATCAACAAGAGCCTTGATTCCTCTAATTTTAGGAGTTCATCTTCAGGATAATTTATACGTCTTTCTATTTTCCATCGATAATAAAAGAGATGATTTTTCATTTACCAATGTTGATTTGGCTTGATCCTTTTAGATTATTATTGAATGGTATCTAAGGCATTCTTGATTGGTACGATAAAATACTATTATACTGTCAATATTCACAGAGTGTAGATTTCGGTATTATTTTTAATTTTTACAGTCAAGTTATCAGTTAATATTAAAGTTGATGATAGATCTATTTATTCTTGTATTTGACTAAAATGTCACTACATTTCTATTTTCTCCATCCATGACACATACTAAATGCATTTTGTGAGCAATTTTTTTCAATTTATATGTTTAAATTCATCATCAGTATAAAAATAGCTTTTGACAAACCGTCTTATATGTGTTCTGGGAGAGCTTAAAATTCTCTAAGATTCAATATATTTATCTGTTATACTGCATAGATTTGTTGAAAAATAATTTATATATAGTGAACGCAGGCGAACATTGGAAAATATCAAAAGTTAACATTTTTATTGTTTTTTCAATTATTAATTATATAGGAATAAAGTTTCGCAACAGTATTGAGTAATTCATAATAAATAGCCACTTTTGCATGTCATCTTTTCATCATCTAGTACGTTGTTTTTAAAAAATAAAAATATCCCATAAAAAATCTCTAGAATGTACAAATAAAAGGTTATTTAATGTGTACACATTTTGTTTGAAAAATAGTCGAAACTCTGTTCGACCAATTTTCGACGCTACAAATATGATTACTTTTTGGTATGCTGCGAATTTCTTTTTTATCATTTAAGTGATTAACGAATCATGGTTTTCAACTTAATCTCATTGTGTATTATTATCGATGGCGTCCTATAAATTAGAAGTATATGTTAGTCATCTATGTTTATATGTGAAATGCGCACAATACTCTGAGCACTAATATCAATGTTTTCTGATGTGTATGAAGTTATAGCATTGTTATCTTGATAGATGAAATTGTTGAATAGTAGTCATTCGCCTTCAGATTGAGCATGTTAAAGAACAACTTCAAGATATTTCTCGTGTGATAATGTTTGATCAGATTCAAATATAATTAGAGATGTGAGACTACTTTTTGGAAACATCTAATCACGCCATAAATCCTTTTGAATATTTAATATTTTAATTTATATATTTCTTTGTCCATTTGCCTGTTGTCGACTAGCAGTATAAACACGTTCTGGTGAAGGATATTTTTCATCAATGGATAGAATTTTCTTAAATTGATGATAGAAAAAAACAAATTGATCGTTTGCTAAAAAATGATCTTGTTCGAATGGTTGAAATTTGATTGAACAGAATTTCGTCTTTTTTTAAAACAAAATATGTATACATTAAATAAGATTTTATTTGTATATTCTAGAGTTTTTTTGTGGGATATTTTTGTTTTTTTAAAAAACATACTAAATGATGAAAAAACGACATGCAAAAAGCGGCTATTCATTATGAGTTGCTCGGTACTGTTGCAAAACTTTATTCCTATATAATTAATAATTGAAAAAACAATAAAAATGTTGACTTTTGCTATTTTCTAATGCTTGACTGTGTTCACTATATATAAATTATTTTTCAACAAATCTATGCAATATAATAGATAAATAGATGGAATTTTAGAAAATTTCCACCTCTCTCAGAATATATAATAAGATTTTCTTTCGAAAGCTATTTCTATATTGATGATAAATTTAAAAATATAAATTGAAAAAACTTGGCCACAAAATGCAACTTGTGAGAATCTAATTATGAGAATTTTTTCATGGCATTCCCAATATGTTTTTTTTCAAGTAATCACAAGATAAAATATAAATATATAAGATGATAATGAATTGCAAGCTCCTACGGAATAGATGTTTATTTTATATTAGAAAAGTGTATTCATAGTAACAATATCCTATACTACGTAATTGAATATCATTGAAGAAAAAAACAAGACACGCTATAGTAATATAAAAAAGGTATTGCATGGAAAATTCCAACTACAGGCAAAAGTAAGTTCGAATGAAATGATAAATGCAGTGAAGAATAGAAAGAATTGAGTTGCTTGAAAAATTTCAGTTTGCGTTGTAACAAAAACGCATGCGTCAAAACAACTAGTTGATAAAAATGAGTAAGAAAGGTGAGTGTTTCAGAGAGCATCCATGAAGGCATCGAATATAAGAAGCACTCGATAAAATTTTTTTCGATTGTTTTTGCTCATTCAAAACTTCAATATCTAAAGCTACTAACCCTAAAATTTTAAGTTCTAATACCTTTCCTGTGAAAAGTTAGTCAATATCGACTTTTAACACTATCACACCTCTTTGGGAAAAAACAGAAAAAATATCCTGTACAAGATGTACCGGCTTACGTTTCAACGGATTGTTGAAAATTTTCACGGTGTGTATAACAAAATAAGCTATTTTGATATAATATAATCTCTAACAATTTTAGTTTTATAAAGCTAATATGAGTCAAAAGTGGTCATTTTGATCAGTCAAAATAAAACAATATATCTTCCGCTGTGTTTCAGAATCAAGAGTCCCCAAACTGAAGTCTTGTCACAAATTTCGTCATGATCGCTTCGATACTGGCTGCTGTTATTATTACTGTTGGTTCCGTTCTTGCACCGAGTAAGTTTGTCTAAACTTTTGTATTTTCTGATTTATCGAGCTTAAAATCTGTGATAAACAGAAAAAAATTTCTTTTTCTTAATAAGACCTCAATGAATTGTCAGTCAGACATTGATCCATTTTAAAAAGAAAGACAATACAGTTTTATAAAACTAAAGTCTTCTTTTTGTAATTATCAATTCTATTCAAAAGAAATTTATCAATAATAAATATTGACACGAATTCATTTAAAGAACTGTTCAATATTAAGATTGATTATTTTCAATAACTTGATAACAACTCTCTTGCTTTATAATTGACCGTATTTTATAAAGAGGCACATTTTAAAAAGAGAAAACTTTATCTGATTGTCTCTATTTCTCATCATAGTACATGTATCACTGTAAATATCACAGAGTTATAAAAACAAAAAGTTCAAGGCTTTCTTAATTATACAAGATATTCTATTTAATTTTTCATAGTTTATTTACTGATGTTATAGAATTTTTTTAGAAGCAAACTCAACAATAACAACAGTTTGTCCACATATAATTTGTACAGCCGTCTCCTCTGTTCAAAATCCATCATCGAATTATCAGGTCGAACATCTTAATTTTAGTTGTTCTCAAACTCTTTCTAACATGACCATCATTCAAGTTGTCCAACGAAATTTCAATGAAACTCATGCTCAACGATATCAAACATTTTGGAATTATTCAACGAATATGACATATATTGAAAATCCCCCACACAAATTATCTATAAATGGTATTCTTTACCAGATATGCACATTGTTGCACCGAGTTTTCCTCATTTTATCGAAACACAATTTTATTATACGACCGGTTCAGTACGCATTACAGGTAATGATACCTGGCAAATATGGATTGAATCTATTTGTGAAGATCTACTATATCTTTTTGGAACTTTTTAATCAATTTTATCTTAATTGGTTTTTATTGTTTATTTTACAAGCTAAAATCTTAAACAGAAATACATTTTTTTACACTTCATTCATATAAATAAATTATATATTCATTGTAACCTTTGCGTCAGAAAAATCAAACTATTTATATGAAAGATTGTTTTTTGCTTTATTAAATACTTCTTTATCATTTTTTTGATTCAGAAATATATATATAAACGATATGAAACATTGATTTCTCAATTGATTTTAATCATTTTAAAATAATTTAGATAAGATCTTCCCGGGAAACTTTCGCAAAATGTATGAGAAACCTGCTTTGTTTTTTTTAATAAAAGCAATTGAACTAAATTGTAACACAGAAATTCAATTTTTTTTTCCTTAAAATAAAATTAATTCTGTTTGGTCATTTAGCACATGTTCTATCTTGAACAATTTTCGTGTTGAAAAAAAATTGATAGTATCTAGTAAAATATCAATGTAAAACTTGTTTATTCTATCGATAGTCAAAAGTTATCAAACTTTTAGACAAGATAAAATATAAACAAGATGAAAAATCTTATTATTGAATAGTATAATTAATACTCCTTTGAATCAAATCAAAAACAACATAATTAACCTGGATATATATAGAAATCGTTAAAACTGAAAACAAAAATTTTTTCATATAAATTATTTTTCGAGATGTACTATCGATCGTTGATATAGGAAAAGATAATTTAAGATCTTTGAGAAAGTTGTCTAAGTGAGTGGGATTAAATTAATTTTGAATTTCTTGTTAACATAATGATTATATCAACGATCATCGATATAAGTCTTTTTGTGATGGTATAAATTGATAATTAATGTTTATGTTAAGTTTATTTTTAAAACCTAAATAGAAAAAAAAGTAGAGGTTATAGATTTACATAGGAAAGACATGGTAACAGTTTTTATTTGGGATTGGACTGTAATCAATGTAGAAGTTTAAATTCAAGCTTTCGACGTCTTCTGTCCTTTTCTCATTAATTCTTCTCTTTGTTGTTCTAATTTTTTAATTTCGGCTTCAATTCGTTCTTGTTCTGTTTCAATAACATCGGATTGTTTTTCTAAATCGTCATGTCGTTGTCGTAACTTTGCTAAAAGTTCTTCATTTTGTTTTCTAAAATAACTATTTTCCAATGCTTGTTCACGTTCAGCAAATTTATCATGAGCAGCATTTATAGAACCAGGTGATGGATCATTTCCCATTAATCTTACTGAAACCCATACTTGCGATGTTCGTTGTCTTAATACATTTGCACATGTACGAAGCATTTTCAATTGTTAAATTATTCAATATCGAATAGGTTTTTTTTCTCGTCTAGAACAAATTTCGACGTTAAATAAATAAGAAATCAACAAATGGATGTAGGTTCTTTTCTTTCTACGCAACAACAATAAATGTATATTCTGAAGAAAAAAGAATCTGCTGAGATCACCAATTGACTACGTTATGCACTACTGGTAGTGACATCTTGTTTAACATGATCATTTTAAAAAAGAAAAATTACAATAGAAATAATCTAAATCAAGTACTCTACAAAACTATAGATTTTATGTTTCTCGAAAATCAGTTTCATGTGCAACATGTCGCTACATTACAAGTATCGAAATTGTTTCAAATAAGTTTATTCTAAGCTTGTTATCATAGAAATTCATAATAGTGTCGTTGTAAGGAACATCTACGAGATGTCGCCATATAAACTCAGTTATTCGTATCTATCAAAAAGATCTCATAAGCAAATAAAATATCATTTGAAATGGAGAAAATATTATGAAAAATGTCACCTTTTCAAAATTAGTTTCATTCTAAGTGCATAGATAAATTTGGCTTCTCTAGTTGCCTCAATGATTCATCTCATTGTAGAAACAAACTAAATGGCCTTATAGTTGTAGAACGGAGCAGAAGGGTTAAATACAAGGAGAGAGAGAGAAAAAAATATTCACCGAGTCATTCTATTCTGCTTTTTCTCGGTATGAAGGGATCTTTTTTTTCTTTCCTTCTTTAATAGTAGGGCTCATAAGTAAGATAAAGAAAAATCTTGGTCGGCTGATGCTTTTTTTCGCACATGAAAACAAAACCATATGTCCTTGTCGAAAAGAATAGCAACATGCCCTACTCCATCTACATTACTATGTCACTGATTTATATAAATATATTCAATATAAAAGACACTAAAGAAAAAGCATTTTTTCGTTATTGACTCATTGAAATTTTGTTCTTTTCACTTCGTTTTTTTTTTAGTTTTAATCGAATAAAATGAGCAAATATTCAATTTGATGTTCGTCAATAAGTTAAATATTCCAAAAAACTAAAAAAGACAATATGAAAAACGTTTAAGAAAAATTTTCTATTTTTTATCGTTTGAATTAGAATCATATTTTGAATGTAGATATTTAAACATTATTCTTATTAATCGATGATGAAACAAACAAATTTGTAGATAACAATAATTACCTATGAATATAATTTGATCAAATCAACGAAGATTATTTAAAAGTTCCACTGATTATAAATGATTATCAAACACTTATTTATTACTTTGAACTCTTTCCTACTCTATTTTTGAACCATCTATATCGAATATATAAAAAGGTTTAAACATTTTGCAGATTAAAAACAAAACATTCAAGTCGAACTTTGAAACTAAGACTAAATGAAAACGAGTTTCATTGATTTCTTGTTAATTTCTTCACTAAAACGAATTGAACAAGAATATATGTCAATTCTGATTTTATTTTACTTACACTTTTTTTTGTCTTTCTACAATTAATCATCACCAATCATCGTTTTTAATGTAATCTTGAAACATATCTTAAACAATAAATTTAAATCTACTTTAACCACAGTTCATTAGAGTTACTATTCGTACGGGAATACATTATTACATATACATTTTATCAATCTACATAACTTTGTTTAACAGTTATCATTCATAGAATTAATTTTGAATTGTTTTGTCATCACTTATGATATGCATATATATATATATATATTGAAAGACTGTGCAAAATAATTCTAATATAAGAACTTGTTAAAGTAGAAAGGATATCTATGAATAATGCTAGTCTCACTAGTAGCTATGTAACTACTAAATTCTGCATGTTCAATAAATATGCAAAGTCCTATATGTATATAGATACCATCTGGAGATACTCTAAAAAGTCTCTATATACAAGCTGAGGATTATTATATAGTAAATTATATCACATGAACAACTTATCTTATAGAACTGTTATTTTGCAGAGATGAAATGAATACATTCTAGTCAAAACGAGCTAGTCTTATCCAGTTGGAATAGATATTCTTATATGGATTATCAATATATAGAATTGATCTTGACAAAAATAAATAATAAAATTATTTCTTTCAATAAAGCAGATACGTTATCATATGATATTAACGGAAATAATCAATAAATTGGTTTAGAAATCATTGAATATCCCAACACATAAACAAGCATTTGATAAATTTTACACAAATTCTCTAACTAGTAACCAAAATTAAAAGAATACATGATATGAAAATTGTATACGTATTTTATTGTACATAAATATGCTTAAGCGAATATATTTATGAAACGTCTGACCAAATAACAGTATTGTCGACATATGTTTACAACTTCTACTGTCTACTAAAAAATTGTTGACTTTTAGAAATGTTATCGAAGGTTTATCGTAGTTATTTTCTCATGTTTGTCAAAATAAAGTCAATTATGATAATGATGTTTGTCAGAATATTGGAATGAAAATTCAGTATATTTGTTAATGAAATCTTTCGATTGATGAACATCTTTATTAATATGAGTAAATAGTGTGTTTAATCATTTGTTGTTTCGATAAAATAGATAAATTTCTTTGGACAATTGAAATTAAAAGACACAGAATCAAATCGAGTTTCGTTCACTTGAAGCTAATTCAAGTCCTGACTGATCAAAAGTTCAAAAAGATTTAATTATAATAGCAAATGTTACAATATAACTTGTAAAGTCTGGAAAAAACAAAGATAATTAAGTTGGCATCTTTTTAAAACAAAATTCAACGTTCTCTAGCTTGTAGAGAATATCTTCTTTTTCTTCATTTTTGAAAAACTCAAACAGAACTGAAGATATTCGAACAGAATTATCCAATTGCAATAGACAGTTGTTTAATTTTTTCTCAAGAATCAATTGACCATATGAAACTAGAAGATCTATCATTGTTTTGTTTATAGCGATTTTTTTCATAATAATATCAAGCATTTTATTCATATTAATCAAAGAGAAATGACTGTAATCGATTGTCAATATTCAATAAATATAGATTCTATTATTCACCGACTGTTGGTTCATACACAATTCAAAAAGCTAATTAAATCTGAATTTATAGAAGCTAAGATAATCAACGAAACAAAAAAAACAAATAAGTAAAATTGATAAAGTAATATATGTTTGCTTGAAATTTTATGATCTTTATTATTCAATTACTAACAGTTAGGAATGAACGGTCTTTACGTACGCTTAGTGTAAAAAAAAAATACCATTGTTATCAATAGTTGATTAGAAATATTCACTTTTACTTGTAATAACTCTATTGCTTTCGAATCAAATAAAATTATAATATATTGAGAATTTATGGGTTTTGGTAAATACAGGGTGGCGCAAAAGTCTGTTTACTGAAAAAAAATCGAATATCTCCAATAAGGCTTGAGCAAACGAGCTGATCTTTTCATTAGTGATAGAGGCATGTTCAAGCTTTATATACATAAAGACATGCCTAGACGGACACTTTGTTAATTATATTGGTTTTTTCTCATATCTATGAAAAAGTAATTTTTTTTTGTTGAAATCACTGGTGATACTTAACGAACAGTCTCTCTAGACTTGTCTTTGTGAATATAAAGCTTGAACATGCCTCTAGCATTGATAAAAAAATCAGCTCGTTTGCTCGAGCCATAATTGAGATATTCGATTATTTTTCGGTAAACTGACTTTTGCGCCATTCTGTAATTGTCGATGTTTTTCTCAGTTTGATATTAGTAAAGTTTCAGAATAAGCTCAATTTATCGTAGTCTTAATCTATTCGATAGATTCCAGTCGATTCTCAAACGTTACTACCTAAAAAATTGAATGTAAATAATTCTACTATGGTCACGTTCCCATGTTAAAACAATGAATACTTTATAAAGTAACTATCTCAATCGATATTCAATCATGAATACCTAATATTTAGAACTTATTAGTTTGACAGTAAGAACGAGAAATTGAAGCGAACATACTCAATCTTCGTTATGTTTAAGACTAAGTCATTCTACAACATATCTATTATTATGCCATTCTTTTTTTCTACTAATCTACAACACGATTGCTTATTTTTCTGTATAGACTCATGATGATAGAATCAATATTAAAATAAATTGTTGCAATAGTGTATTTTCTTTTAATCGTTATTGACTAAAAAAAAAAGAAAGAGATATAGTCGATAGATTAATAAACGATATAATATGATAAATAAATGTAAGAATACAAAAGAAAAAAAGTAAGATCGAGTGGTATTGAGTGTACAAACATATTTGTCCCTACGATATTGTTTACTACAAAAAGAAAAATATTCATTTCGAATGATAAACATCAATGAGGAGCAGAATCATTCTATTACGTCGTAAGATATCCATTACGGTCACCACCATAATTCGTAGGAGGAAAATCATCAGCAGACATTCTAACCAGAGGACGACCGATCATGCTATCATTATTAAGATCCACATGAATTGCTCTTTCTATATTACTTTGAATACCTCGAAAAAAAAAACACGTCAATGATTATGTAAGATACATTAAAAAGATTGAAAAAATAATAACCTTCTCCTTCAACATATTCATCATCATCATTTAAATTCATACTCATACTTTTTTTCCACATAATTGTTCACGAAATCTAATTAGAATATGAAACAAAACCAAATCAACTTTTCATATATATATATATTTAAATTAGTAGACACGGCATTTTTATCAAATACGTACTCATATTTGTTTGCTTGATTATAAATAATAGAAAATATGGATAGAATCTCTCATATATACATGTTGTGATGACTTTGCGAGACCATAATGTCAATATTTCGATGAAATGAGATAGAATATGTGCTGATTTATTATCGAATAAAAGATATATTTCTCTGTATTTGTGCAGATATGCATCAATAATTTTGTTATCTGACCATGACAATCATACATTTTTATATTTAACTAATATTATTAATAGGAATATGTAAATGTACTGTAACTATGTTCATGAAAACAAAAAAGACAGAAGTGAACGCATTTACGAAAACATGTAAATCTATGTTAATAATGAAGATTTTGGTTTGATGTTATTCAAAGGGATCCATATATATGATTGTTTGAACTGATGAGTACATTCTTAAAAAAAAAAGAGAAGAGCCTTTTCTTCTTTTCATATTATATATATATATTGTTGTTTAATCGTTGCAAATAGAAATATTTCGATATGTATATAGAAATAAATAAAAATTGAAATAAAAATCTGACAAAGTCAAAGTCAAATTTTGAAGTTGTTTTTAATTATTTCAAAAGCACAATATAGATATAGCTACTGCGTCTGATTCATTTGTAATTTTATTATATATAAAATTTTTCCTCGTTGAAGCCGTTTAAGACTAATATCTTTACGAAGTTATATTAAATTTTGACAGTTTTCTACTAGGTTCGATTTAGTTCAGTTTAACAAAACAAAATGACGAACCAATCTAATAAAGTTAGGAAATCCTCTCGAATAGCATTCAATTAACATAAATATATATGTAATTTTCACTTTTTCTTCTAAGATCTTATTTATAAAATGATCAAGAATTTTCAGAGAGGATTATCTTATCATTTAATGTTTAACAAGACATATTCGTATTGAAGTTAGAAAAATTAGATTCAAATTCATCAAGTCAATAATAATAATAATTCTATCGAAAAAGTTTGAAAATAATTCTATATTGCTGCTAGTTTATTATTTATATTATGAAAGGATCATAATTAGAAAAAGAAAATAGAAATTTAGTCTATTTTAACATAATTGATTTATTTCGTTGATGAATATATTCCATCGATATTAACGATAATAATTATGTCCACCACTATGTTGATGACTATAACCACCCGTTCCAGGAGTACTTCCATACATTTGACCATATGTTGGATTTGGATTGCCACCCATCACGTTATCCATCATTTGACCCATCGGACCTAAATACAATTAAAAATCAACATTCTTCAATCGATATTAACTCGATTTATGATAAAAAAAAATTGATTTAATAATAAAAATGTCTTACTGTTAAGTCCTCCAGGAACAACCTTTTGAATATATTGATCGCTCATACGTTCTGCCATTCCACCAGGCATTCCACCATACATTCCGCTAGACATTCCACCACTCATGCCACCAGGCATTCCACCATGCATTCCACCAGACATACCACCAGACATTCCACCGGGCATACCACCAGACATTCCACCTGGCATACCACCAGTCATACCACCAGGCATACCACCAGACATTCCACCAGGCATACCACCAGACATTCCACCTGGCATACCACCAGACATTCCACCAGGCATACCACCAGTCATACCATACATATTTGATTTACTTCCCCACATAATCGATATATAGTAATAAGTTGATAAATGCAATAAATAAATGATTCTGATCAATCCTTTTATAGGAGATTTTTTTTTTGTTTCTTCGCTTTTCAAAAAACGATAATAATAAGAAAAAAAAAGTAATAATGCATGATTGCATTAAACATCAAAACAAATATACACCGCAATAATACGTTTGTCGAGGTTTCTTATCAACTGATTTGCGCATAATCTATTCATAAACCTTCACATTAATTTTGTTGACGACCATGATCAAATCGACCTTGATGGATTTGCTCAGTCAATCAATTTAATTAGTGCGTTTTTTTTTTAACTTGTATATTTGTAGCTAGAGATCAATTATAAAATATTTAAATCTTTAGTAAAAACTCTTTCAGATCGACAATTCTTCAGTTTTTTTTTCAATTGTTTAATCAATTGTTGTTCAATAGGTTTTTTTTTCAGATCTATGATTTCAATTGATCGAAATTTTGTAATAAAATATTTTTCTAATATTTCTATTTGAGTAGATTACACAAACTGTTATGAAACTCATTTCAAATTGAAAACGAAACATCAGTTAACAGTTAATTGAAATCGACAAATAAAAGGCTTCTCTCTTCAATTGCTATTCTATTATTTGTTTATCATATAAATTGACTATTGTTATATTATTCGATAGATCGTTGTTCACAATAATAGTACAAAATAATCATACTCAACTTATTGAGTAGAATTACAAGAAAGATTATTTTTTATGAGATCTACTATTTTACAATGTGAATAGAAGTCTCATATTTATATATTTCGAATAATTCTTAATTAATAATAAATGATCATTTATGATTTCTAATAAGTTTAACTTTTTCTTTTTAGTTTGGTTAAAGAAAATTTAAAATTCTACATTCAAATCGCATTGTCTATTTTGACTATTTAAATAGTTAATGTGTAAGAATGTTCTCAGAAATATACATAAGAAATAATATTTTAAAAAACCAAATCTTAATAGATATGACTATATCATCATAATCAATGGAAACATCGAAACATATATATCATCCAGATATATGAGAATATTAATTATTTCAGGTACTACCAAAGGCGAATCGAATCAAATCGAATAATACTTTTCTTTATTTATTTTGGTTTCAATGATCAATGTATCTTATAATAACAGTTAAAATAGAAAGAATTTTTTGTTTTTGCTCCAATTAATATATATATATATAGATATAGATGAATTTATCGAAAGATTTATTAATACAATCGAATATTTATCCTTGAATTCAAATATAGATAAGTAGACAATGTCAAGCATAATAGAAAATAGTAAATCAAAACAAGATTAGTCACATTAAGTGACACATCAAGGTTTTCGATTATTCATCAGTCGACAATAAGAAATTTTTATAATCATCTATTGACGATTACTTTATGTCGTAGTAAGTTTGTAAACGAACTACATTAATTTGAATAAATCTTATTTAATTGTTGTAAAAATCTTTTTGATTATCAATCGTGAACTGAATTTTCTGAAAGGGTTGTTATAAATAGTCTAATCATGAATTGATTTCACATGTTGATTGTCTTCGAAGATACTTTGGAAAACAGATAATTTAAATATTCAAAAGACATTGGAATAATCGATTTTTTTTCCTTAATATAAAATGCTTAGTTTAACAGAATAAGAATCTATACGACACAAAGATTTTATCACGAATGTCTTGACAGATCGTGACTGTATTCGGATGTAACAAAGTGTTGTTCTTCAATAATGTAATTAACTTGTTTGAATACTCTCACTGTTCTATCTATATATGTCAATCACACGCTTTAGATAGTGTTACAGGTGTTCATTCTCATAATTTTTATTAAATAATTCTTTGTTTGAAAATATCATTTTTGAGATGAGTTTGATTTGAAGATGTTTGTCCATATCATAGATCCAATTCTAGTCGATTCGATCAAAGTTAATCTTGTTTGATGAATATAAATAATCATCTACTCTGTTGACGTGCTTTGACATGAATATAACCATTTCAAATCGTTCCTATGCTATGAACAGCTTCTTCTCTTCAGATTAAGATACTCGACAAGCAGAGAAGTGATCGTTGAGTTTGATCGCGTCTTAAATAACACAAAGCCACTGTTACAAACAAATGAGTCGATCATAGAACTCGATTTCATCAGTTGAGTCTCTATCATACATTATAAGTAGAGATATTTTCGTCATCGATCAGTAGAGACTAATGCTTGCCACGAAATTTTTATTTAATAAACACATTAATAAGAGGTACATTCTACTGGTTAACGTTGTACTTATCAAACTTGATGCATGTCACAGTGTCTACTGATCTTATATCACTACCAGAGTTACTGATTACGATATATATAAAAAGAAAAATGATCGTCTCTATTGCCATACTCATCATGGAAAACCATTATACAAACAACTTTACAATAAAAAAAAATGTAAGAAGCGTAAATTGTCGTTTACTTATTATAGAGATCTATGCTTGTTCAACATATCTTTTTATAAAGAAAAAAATTTATTCATCATCGTCATCTTAGAGAAAAATAAATTTCGGATTACTCATGGAAGTATTTTACTGAACAAGAATAAACTTATCTATCATTCATGTTTCTATGATTAACTTGTTAAAGTACAGACGATAATGACACTAATGATTTTAATCAACATGATATTGTGTAGAAAATCTATTTTCCATGGTGTTAAAATGTGCAAAACTGGGCGCATCTATAACAATTTGATCAAATGTTAGAATCGAGATGTTCACCTAGCAATAGTTAATATAAATAGAAAATAAAATAATGATTATTTTAAAAAGTAATAATAACTTACTATTTTATCCATTGGAGAGATTTTGTTCAATGAAATTATCAATAAATGTAAATATTTGAATAGACAAATCTCATCACGTCTTTTCTATGAAATACATACGCTTGCTTTCTTGAAAATTTGAAACATAGTAAAGAAACAATTAGAAATAAATCTGATTGAACATGACTCTATTCCCAATGCATGTTAATGTAAATATGAATAACTAATCTATCGAGAATTTTTTTCAAAGAGATATTTATGATATGCTCATACAGATTTACGTAAAGACCTCAGACATCGATATTAACTTCTTGACAATGATAAGATATGTTTTTCTTGGTGAAAATAAATAAGAATACTTATACTAGATATTTACCTTTAAAAGAAAAAAAACCATGGTTACTTATCCATGATTATTTTATACGAATTATCTTATGAAACAAACGACAGAAAATGTACATTAGTAATGATATATATATATAGTCTCGTCACATTGATATTAATAATCTCAAATGAAATATTTTGGAAGCCAAGATCATATTGAAAATTTCTAGAAGAGCATAATATGATAAATCATAGTTATGATATATTATACAAGAAATTTGATTTTTATGTTAAGTTTTAATAAGATTTCATTATTTCATTTATAATTTACATACAAAGGGTTAAATAGTCAATTCCATGAGGATGAAGTCAATGACTACAAAATGAATGCATAGAAATAATAGAATTTGTTTTATTATATCAAAATATTCATTGAAGATTAATTTTCGATTATTGAAAGAGAGTAATAAGAAACAAAACGATCAATTTCTCCATTTTATCCCGAGTTATGAACAACATCAACCGTGTTGAAACTTTCTTATCTTTGATTGATCATTACAAAAAAAAACCGGAACTCTAGAAATGAACAATGCTTTACAATTGATTCAAATAAAAAAAGAGTTTTGCATTTAAAATCTTGCTACACATCGTACAAAGCTGTTTGAGAGTTATTCGTATATTTAGAAAAAGTTTTTATTGAATATCTTAGCTTGAAAATCTGTTTTTTCAATTAAACAATTCTTTCGACGTGATTATTATTCATAGAAAATCTTTTATAACAAATCGTTTTGTCCATAACAAATAATATCAATGATAGGATACTAATGATTTAAAAGCTATAACAAGTAAACCAGTCATTGCTACAATGTTTATACTAGTAGACACATTAGATGAAAATAACTGTTGATAAAGATTTCCTTGAAACCATTTTCTTTTCAAAATTCTCAAGTTGACCTTATTCTCTAAATGATAAAACAACAACATCGAACTCTTTTGCATATAACCATTGTTTATGAATAACAATACTATATACACTACGACTAAAATCTGATTCAACAAGAGTTAAATTCTAATAGACTTTGTTAGCTAAAAGATCAGTATTCGAAATAGCAGTATCAATAGACTTATCTAATAATCTGATACATAATTCATATTGTGATTTTAATGGATTAAAATTTCAACTACCACTAGAAATTTCATGAAAATAAAAATCTTCCAACGATGATTCAGCAAGAATATCAAGACAACAAAAAGGTAATTTTTCATATTTGATTTAATCATTGTCTAGCAACTGTCTGAACTTGAAAATCTGTACGATAACCCATAATAGTACTAGCCGAATCTTACATACTCATTGTGCCAAATGAAATTATCGATTTTTTGTTTCAATGCTTCATTTTCTTTTTGTTCTAATAGACACAGTAAGATAGCAATATATATGTTACCAGCCGGAAGCGTCAAACATCGTGTAAATGAAAACGATCTTAAATATGAAAAAAGATCAAGATCGACAGAAGTTGCTTTTCAAATAATAATGCATAAAGAATTATGAAATATTGGATTAGAATTATCGATTATTTCTCTTCGTAAATTAGTTATAATAACATGACAAACACGATTTGCTACTGATTGAATAGTACTAATATAATATGAGGAATAAATAGTTGACCTTCATCGTTCTGGGATATGTTTTAGGTTCATATTGCTACTAAATACTATAGGCTACATTTAGTAATCATCTATTAATTAGTGCACTGATAACATTTCCTGCTACGAATTCTATAGAAAGTATACCGATTAAATTTCGATATGAAGTTTGATCAAAAATGTTCTAATTAAATACTTAATCGTAATATCAATGTGAATTATGGTTCAAGAACATTACAATCAAGTCCATTTTTTAAAATTAATACCGTGTAATTAGTTTCTATCTATAGCAATACAATTCGTGTTGAACTCCTAGATGAAATATCTGTTAAATCATCTCGAATATTGAGTGTCGCAATATGAAATCCTACTGTTTGACTGATTATCAATTTTTTTTACTAAATTCATGAATTATTCTTTCAGGACCATCAGATCTCGATTGATCATTTTGATAAATAATTATAGAAGATGCTCAACAATTAAATCGAATAAATAATTCTACAATTGACGATGTAGCAGCAGCACCATCCGAGGAAATTGTAAAGTAAAAAGCTAGATGTACATGTCGATCAGATAAATCAGGATCAGTTGCACCATGTGATATTACAGGAGAATATCAACTAATTCGGTAAATCCGACGATAAAATGAGCTTCTGTGGAAAATGCCGGTTCAATAATGTAGAAAGTAGACATTATTAAACATGTACTGCTAAGAGAAACGACAGTGTTACTACCAATTTGTACTGCTTGCCATCCAATGTATTGTCTGTCAATTTTTATATTATATTGTTGTGAAAGAACTACCGCAACTTTAAACATAGTACGAGAATGAACTAATAATTTTGTAGGTTTAGATGTATTTATTACGCCTTGAAAAAGATCTAATACTTGAATGGTCGAAAAGTCTGAAAGTGGTCAAATTGGAATTGTGTAGTGTACATGAAATTTCTCCAATATAAAAGATAATAGCAATCAACAAAAACACTACGAGTATAACATCAACTTTTTATTATCATCTATGTTTGATAATTGGGCACTACGTGAAAAAAAAATAAAAAAGACTCGATTTCAATCGCAAAATATTTATTAAGAAATCTAACTGTCGGATTGTATTAAATCTACTGATTCCATCATCATCAAAAATCTTCAATAAAATATTATAAAATGAAACCATTTTCTTTTGGAAAGAGACTTATTGTAAACGAAGAAACTAAACTTTGAGTCATAACATGCTAGGTAATTTCAACGAAACTAAACGAAATTCGAAGAATTTTGATCTAAGTTCTATAGAAGAACTAATTAATTAGATTGGTATACAATGACGAAAAAGAAATAAAGAAAACACACAAAAATGTAGACAAAAAAAATCTGATAGCAATCGAAAGATTCTTTTGAAAGTTACATTAATGCAAGAAGAGTGAAGAAAAATATTTTTCGATTAGAAATCCTATCCCTTGTGTCATCTGTATTTCTGAAATGGGAATGCTCCCGTGAATGTAAAGATAATCAAATAAATATCGTGAATATCCACGCATTTTTCTTTCTTGATGAATATACTTTTCTCTCTTAAAAATGCCACTTTTAATAACAAGAATACTCATTCTTTTTCTATTTAAAAATATTCTTACAGATGAAGAAAAATCGACATAAATTATTTATCAATTTGTTTTTTCCTATTTCTTTGGTCCGATACTCTTTCTATCTAATTGAGTACTATCGATTCCTCACACATGGTTTTTTTTACAGAAGTTTTAGAAATCGATTATTTCGAATAGAATAGGAAGAATTTTTCGAATTATAAGAATATAACTGAACTCTCAGAGAGAAGTTCATCATGCAAGTGAAAGATACAGAATGCGAAAGTGCAACTTGATTTCACATTTAAATCGGCGAAAGGACGATACACTAGTAGGCATTTCATATATCATTTTCCTTTATTTTAAATGAATATTCATAGGGATTCTGCTATAGAATAAAAGTATATAATCAATTTTTGTCAGTGTCTTTTGTTTTTCATATCATTTTTTTTTAACGAAGACGATATATTAATATGACATCATTGACTTTATTAAATATAATATGGTAAATATAATGCATTAAAGATCAAACAGTATGATAATGAAATTTAGGTTTTTTTTAAAAACATGTCTTTGAAATACTCATTGAACAATGAATAATTATATTCATTCTGAGATTTGTCGAAGTATTCAGTTTTTATCGACAACAATATTCAAGACTTCTAATTCACTATCAACCAGAAATTCTATTCACATCATAAAAAATCTATTTAATTAGCTTTTTTTCTGATAAGAAAAAAAAGTCTTTATTTTAATCATGTATATTCTTAAAGGTATTATTTTTTTATATAAATGATTTTCTTGTTTTGACCTACTACCAAAATACAAAGCCATTACATGACAATCCATCTATAAACATCAAACGCAAAATAGATGAATTCATACACGATTTTATTATAAATTATATGTAGAAGTTGTTCAAAAAGTTTTCAAAGACGATTTTATGTAAAACTGTTTCTGCATTCACAATTGATAAAAATTGTTCAAATACATTTCGACATTTTTTCTATTTAAAATTTGTATAAATAATAGTTAATATTATCTATAAGGATTTTTTTAGCTTATCAATGACTTTTACTCAAACTGTCAAGTGATATATTATTTAAATAATATAATAAATAATCGTTTCACCAATTCATTTTTCATTTATTTAAATCTTCGATAATATGATTTGCTATGTTAGGATTATCATATTTCAAAAAAAAAAGTCTTTTAATATTAATTATGATGCGTAGAAGATAAATAAGTTTAACGTTTCATTTAAAATTAAAAAATTGATTAGAAAAGATAAAATGAAAAGTAACATGAACTGTTGAATATTTTACATGGGATAGAATAAAGTGCCTGTGCACTAAAATAAATTCGCGTATTTTTTTTTTGGTTTGAAACAAGAAAACATATTGTACTCGAATAAGTTAGTAGTATATATGCATGACTTTTGCTCATGGATTGTCTTGTTAAAGTTTAGCTATTATTAAGAATCTGAATTAAATTGAAATTTATTTTTTAAATTTCATTTGGAACATATTGTGACTACAAAAGTATTTCTGTGAGACTGAGCTTAATCTTTTGTATAGAAATAAAAAGTTATTTGAAGAAAGACTCATTTCGATGAAGAGAATGTTTATTATGGTTACCAAAAAAAATCAATGATTAATTGGTAAATTAATACATCCTGTATTTAGAAAAAAAAATAGTTCGATTGTAATTCAATGGAATCACCATCCATAGGAATATCCATATCCACTACCATAACCACCAACTCCAGGATAACCTCCATAGATTTGACCCCATGTTGGATTTGGATTTCCACCCATTCTATTATCAAGATATTCACCCAATGAACCTATATTAAAATATATAATTAAGGAATATTCACTTTTTTTATTGAAAATTTTGTTTTTTATATATTTATCATTATTGATTCGAATAAAAAATAAATTACTATGGAAATTTATAATAATAATTCAAAGTTTATTTGAGAGAATAAAACAATCTTTATCAAAGTAATACTTTTTAAATTATAAACGAATCAATCATAAGTATTTATTATATATACAGTAGCTACCAAAATTATTTAGCAAGGTTTATTTTCAATTCTTTCTACTGTCTTCAATCGGAAAAAGATTCGATTAGAAAAAAACATATCCTTTAAGAGTGTAAGAAAAAAAAGCGATTACTGGATTCCGAAAGTTGAAATTCCCAGAAAATCGAACAGCTCCTTTTTAGCATCTAGAAGATGCGAGTTTTATTTTGTTTCGAGTAAACAAAAGCGTAGAGCAAACAATTCTGTATAAAATAAGATGTTTCGAGCTCTATATCACTCTTTTTTTTGCTGACATACAGCAATCTGATTGAAATTCTCAAACTGAATTTTTCATAGAAAGTAATAAAAAAAGCACCCTTCATAGGCTTGTGTAAGATTACTGGATTTCAACAAAAACAAGAGTTCGTAGAAAAGTCGGAGATATTTCATTATTTTTTTTTCGAAAATTCTTTGTTCTATAGTTTTGTTCTATATTAGGAGATAACTATTTTGGATTCTTACTGTTTAATCCGCCGGGAATATTCCGTTGAATCCACATATCAGATGCCATTTCTGAATTCATATAAGGATTGAAACCATACATATTTATTGTATTATTAAATACGTAGAGTACCAAGGAATATTTTTCTGTTTTGATTAATAAATAACAACTGATATTATTGCATCTATTTATATAAGATTATCTTGTTGTTTTTTACGATATATGAGAGAGAAAAAAAAAACAAAAATTTTTCAACCGTAACCACAAATCATGCATTGGGTCCACAAAAACACATAAACAGAAGGCACGTTGCGAAGGTCTTTTTCCCTTGATTTATGTTGACTTGATATGCATCTTTACACACCCACATCCAACCATTTTATTTTTAGTGTACATTTATTTTTATGTTATTTATTTTTTATATCATATTCAACTAGGCTTTTTTTTTCTTAACTTCATTGGGTAAATATGTTATTCATCTAAACAATTTATGAATAAACATGACGTATCATAACAAATTTGTCATGTTGTCAAGCAAATAATGTTTATTCTCTCATCTGTTTCCTAATCATATTTAGTGCGATAGACTATTTTCATTAATTCATCAAATAAAGTAAAAGCAACTCTTTTAGATTTTAAAATAATTATTCATTTTAAAAAGGTCATTAAGAAAAAACCTTTATTGAATATTATTTATTCTACAGAGTTGGAAATAATATTATTTCCAACCCTGTATATATGTATCCTCACTAGAAGTATCCCCCTATTCTTATCATTCTACCCAGAAATACTTAGGTGCAAATAATAGAGAACAACATAAGAAAATCGTTTTCAGTCTAAAACACATGTTCACAGAAGCTTGTCCCTAACAGACAATGCCTAATTCCATTGTAAACTGAACGTAGAACTTTTTTGATACCTAAATAATTCATAGAATCCATTGGTTTGATAGTATGAATCAAGCGCATAACTAAAGCAGAGTCGGCTAACAATATGTAACTTATCTAGGAGATGATGGCATACTCATATATGTTTGCGAAAGAATGATGGAGAAGCATTGTTTACAATAGCTTCTTTTAATTCTCTGCTATCCACTGTTTATCTCAATCGTGTCTGAAATATTCAAAAATAACCGGCATGTAATCATGAAACACATGTTAGACTAGTCTAAACAAGCTTTGGTTGCAGATGACGGCGTTTAAATGCAACTCAATTTAACATACACCTGAAGTGTAGTGAAATGCATTTTTTTGCAAATTTTTCTGAGCGCTTTTAACATCTTCTGTATAAGAAATTCGAATGAGTTTCTTGACGTAAATGCGTCCAAATGAGTTCAGCTGCCAACTTTGTATCTGAACTCGCCTATAGTTGTCGAAGATTTTAAGATAAAAGTATGTACAATAGTGAATCCGATTAGATGGACTTTGGTCAAAAACAGTATTAAAATTGTCTTATAAATTACGTAGAACACATAACTAAATTTACTGTACTCGTAATATTAATGACTTATCTATATAAAATGAATTATTTTAATATGTATTTTATTAGTTGGTATGCGAAGCACATCAGAAAAAATGTTTATATATGAAAAAATTTCTGAACTCCACATCGATCTTTCATTACTACGTAGATAAGTTTATGACGAGTCACCACTGGCTTGGTCGTAGGAAAGTTTCAGTGTCTAACGAAATATAAACTTAATTTTGTGATAAATGTTGATCAATTAAGTTTTTGCTATGAGATTACTCCAAGTCTCTCTTTGTCATATATTGGAGAAAATGTTACTTACCTTTCGACCTAAGCTCTGAACGGTATACTGCAATCCTATACAGTGACATCGATCATCACCACTGCATATTAGCTCATTGCTCCTGTTTCTGTGTATTTTCGAAAAGTCATAGGTTGATATTCAGCTACAAAGTGGATCATTTTAATTTTTACTGTTGTGGCAATCCCTAGTAAATCTAGGAAATTGAACGTGCCCTCAGTAGAATATTGGATTTAAGAAATATTAGACAAAATTAAAAATACCTGGTGACTTGTGTTTGTTGTTCAGCGGTCTTCACAAACCAATATGATAGCAAGAGTTACTGAAGAAAATATACCATCGAAGTCGCTCTTGATTTGAAAAACTGTTACACTATCATCATTAAATTACAAAGTTTAATGCATTGCCGACTGATTTTCACTGTGTTCCAACCAATGATTTCATTCAGATGGTCAAGCTGTAATGACATTCTACAGCATTATTCAATAGTCTCTATGGTAATAGATGTCTGTTTCTCTTTTCTAGAGAAAAGTTGTACAGATAGTAACTGTGAAAAGAACATATTCATTTATTGCAATCCTTGCTAACGAATATTATGTTGCAAACATTTTTTAATGCTTATCATTTTCGTTGACTCTATATGTAACATACGGTTTCAAATAAAGCATGCGAATCGACAAATAGATAGATTATTGTATATTGGAAACAAGAGAGTCAATATGATTTGTATTTAATAGTAGATAAAACTGTATTCTCAAAAGATTGCTAACATTCGTCTGAATCCAATAATCAATTGTTTTTCTACACAATGATAGCATGATTGACATATGTAAAATAAGATATGCATAGACATATGTTGGCCTAGTCTGTGAGGATAGAAAGCTAAAAGGGATAGGATTAGTAATATAAAAAGTAATATATTTTCCATTTGAATTGGTATTTCATATCTGGGGAATCTTCCTCTTGTCAATGATGATATTCAAAGTTACAAATGAAACCATGTATGGACTTGTGGCTTCTATTGAGATACTTTATCTCCGTCACAACCGCGTATAAGGTCAAGAGACACTCGACGGGAAAGTGCAGATTTACATGAACATATCACCCATGCACAAACAACAACAGTTTCTTAATAAAGTCACGTGATACTTAGTTTGGCAATGATTACATATTCAATAATTTACTTATTTATTACCAATGGCTAGTATGATCATTATTTCACCATTGCATATGTAATAAGCAGAATAAGATAAAATATTTATTTGATTATTATGTTGACAAAGTAAATATCAAAATAAAAGTCTTCAAAGAAAAATATCGAGATGATGAATTTACTATTTTTAATAAATGATAAATATAATGTATAATTAGTTCATATTTAAAAAAAAAGATAAGAAAAATATGAAAATCGAATAGATCGATTAATGGTGTAAGCAGAATAAAGTCTCAATCTCACCTATTATTGTTCGTATGAGGTGTAAAAAGTTTTAAAAATACTATAAATATAAATATCAATCTTTCTAGTTATAGTCGAACGTCGAAATAGTTGACTACTATTAGGTTTTTTTTATTACGTTACTAGATTTTATGAAAAAGAAAGTGTATAAGTCAAAGTCGTCCATAATAACAAAGAAAAATAAAAAGAATTTTATTATCGCTATATTTAAAGTTATATGAGATTTTTCGTCAAATTTATTTCTTCACGTACATCGAATCATCTCTTATCATATGTTATATGAAATAAATATTAAAATGTATGTTTGGTCTATTTGATATGATCAATATTTCTACCATATTTCATATTTTAATCTTATAAGAATTGTGCTAATCATTTTCTTTTTTGAATAGAATTGTTAACCTAATTGTAAAATAAAAATAGATCAAAGTTATAATAGAGGTATAAGTACAATGAGAATAGATACTCTTAATTGCTTATAATATATTCTGGGAAATTCTTTATTGTTATTTGCTTAGTTTAAAGAAACAAAATGAGTAAAATTTCTTATCAATAAATAAATATTTCTATCATTTTTTCTTCATCTTAAAGAAAAACGTGTTTTTATTTAGTTTTATTGTATTAAATGTTAAAATATATTGTGATTATTTTAATATTAGTTTTTGAAATCTATAGAGATTATTTATACTTAAATTACATAGTTTAGATATTTTTAATATTGAAAAGAATATATTGATGTGTATGATCATAATTTGATCTATTTTCTTGTTTATGTTAAACGTTCTTTTCATATTAGCATAAGGCTATTATTTGTTTTTCTTCATCAATAGTTTTCAGTTAATATTTATCTGATTAGAAAATATTTTAATTTAAAAATAAGAATGTTGATTTATTTTTCTATAATGAATTATGAATATAGAATACATAATATTCAATAAAAATTTTTTCTTACTGAGTATTGTTATTTGAACAGTCTTTTGGGTTTGTGATGATCTTTCTAAAATGAATCATTATTTTAAAATATTAAACACTTGCTTTCATTTTATTTGATAGATTAATGACAATATACTGTCGTGATAAATATGATTAAGGAGTAGATGAGAGTAACACATTCCTTGCTTGACAAGGTTAAAAATTAGTAATGAAATGTCGTGATTATTCATATATTGTTTGCATGTAAAATATATTTACTCATTGAAGTCAAGAACAAAAGAAACAATTAAATATTATTTCAGAATATAATCTCATAGGAAAATAAGAGATAAAGCCTAATATTATCCTTAAAAATAAAATTGTTGCATGTATGTGTGTGAATATCCAAATCAAATCAACAGAAACGAAGGAAAGGAAACTTCCAGGAGTGCTTTTTATTATGTAGCTTTTGGTTACGGTTGAGAAATTTTTTGTTACTCATATTTGTCATATAATAACAATGACAAGATCGTATATAAATAGATGCAATCAAATCAGTTGTTATTCATTGATCAAAACAGAGAAATATTCGTCGGTACTCTACAAATTTAGTAATACAATAAATATGTATGGTTTTAATCCTTATATGGCTTCAGAACTGGAATCTGATATGTGGATTGAACACAATATTCCCGGCGGATTAGACAGTAAGGATCACAAAGTTTTATTACTAATAGTATTAAGATATGATTCATTTCTCACTTTTATTATATATTTATATATAAGAAGTGTCCCAGAAGTTCTAAAACGATTTTAAAATTCATCGTTTTAGTATTCAACAAAAATTTGAAACTTAGGTATATTATTGTACCTACTTAGTACTACATAACTACAAAGTTTGAAGTCTACGGCTTTTATTATGAGCGAGAACCGGTAACAACATTGTCATAGGCTATTTTTTCGATATTTTTCCTTGATCTTGGTTATTATTTTTAAAACAATTCAACTTTTCGAAATAAAAAGAAACTCACATCAAGTTATGAATGTTTATGTATTCTGGTACTATGCTTATCGATTACTAATTTTAATTGTATTGGTATTTTATCGATCATTTGTTGACATAAAGAAACATTAAATTTGTTTCATTCCATTTCAATGTCATTTTTCAAGATAATCCAGATTCTAAACAAAGGATGTACATGATTATGGATGTCGTCAAACATGTTTCCATTAATCTAGTTGAATTAATAAATTGTGCTTCAATGCTAGCCAGCATTTGGCCTATAAACAACGTTTGGAATACATTAAAGGAGAAATCACGAGGACAGAAATACATTTATCTTCGACAATAGAAAAGTGGGATTAAAAAGGATAGCATGGTTATCAAATATACGAACATTGATAACATGATGTGGATTTCTTTTTATTTCGAAAAGCTGAATTGTTTTCAAAACATTAACCAAGATCAGATGGAGAAAATCGAATAAATAGTTCATGATAGTGTTGTTACAGATTCTTATTCAGAGTAAAAGCTGTAGACTTCAAACTTTGCCGTTATTTAGTACTAAGTAAGTATAATAATCTACCAAGGTTTCAAAGAGTTTGCTTTTGTTGAATACGAGAACAATAAATTTTAAAATCGTTCAGACCTTCTGGAACACTCCTTGTATGTAACGTTGCTACCAAACCTATTCGACCAAGTCAATTTTCAATTTTTTTCGCGTGTCTTAATCACAAAAAAGAATTTAAATAGTGATTCGAACAGAGCAAAGCGTACACAACAAGCATACATGAAAATAAAATGATTACTAGATTTCAAAAGACGGAATTCACAGAAACCTGAATCACCAGTTTTTCAGAAGCTACTATGCATAAATATAAGTTTGTGAAGACTTCACAAAACGATAGAGTAACGAATTCTCTAAAAAATGAGACGTCTTCGAATTTTCTACGACCATTATTTGCAGACATAGAGTAATCTTACAAGAAGTCTATGAAAGTGTTTTTTCTACTATTTTCTATCAAAATATCGGTTTTGGGACTTTCAATCAGATTATTGTACGTTAGCAAAAAAAAGAGTCATACAGAGCTCGAAAATGTTTTACTTCGTAGAGAATTGTTTCTTCTATGGTTTTGTGTGATCTGAAAAAAATTAAAATCGTTTTATTGTCTTATTTTCTTATAACTTGGTTGAATAATTTTGGTAACCACTGTATATATGAACACTTATGTTTGGTTTACCTATAATTTTCAAAGTATTGTCTTAATAAAGATTGTGTCATCTTCTGTAATAAGGTTTGTATTTTCATCATAAATCTAAATAGTAATTTATTTTTTATTCGAATAAATAATGCCCATGAAAAAAAATATGGTATAAAAATGCGTTTCAACGCAAACTTTTAGAAAAAAACGCTATTTTTGCGTTATAACGCATCGTTTTGTAAGTTCAACGCGTTTAAACGCATCGAGTTCTTTCCCCAGCGCATTTAAATGCATTCTTTTTATTTTGAACGCATTTTTCCAAATTAAAACGCAACTTAAAAACACAGTTTGAATGCGTTTCGTTTTATGCGTTTGGATGCGTTTGTCTGCTTTGCATTCAAATGCGTTTTTTAGCCTTCTTTGATTGAAAAACGAGTTTTTTTCGAAACGCGTTATAATGTTGTTCTTTTTTATGCGTTTTTTCTAGAAAAAACTGATGTTTTCGAAACGCATTACAATGTTGTTCTTTTTAATGCGTTTTTTCTCCAAAAGATGTATAGTTTAGAAAAGCGTTTGAACGAATATTTGTATGTAAGTGTTTCCAGTAAAGATGTGCTTCTAGAGAATACAAATCTGTTTTAGTTAGAGTAAATGTTAGGTGATATCAATGTGAACATTGAAAAGTTAAAAGGTACTACTCTTCGGAACAATTCTTTGTGATATAATAAGATAAAAAAATAGTCGAATAACATAGAAAACAAAGCATGTATTTAATAAAAAAAAACTAACAATTGAAGATAAGTAGTAATATGTTCTCTAACTAGACTCAGTTAACGTTGGATACCGAATGAAAATAAATTGTTTCGAATTAATAGTAGCATAATTTTTCAATAACATCATCTACATTAGTATGAATATGGTGATTAAAATCAATTGTCCCAAATTCAACATTATCGCAAGAAATTTTTTATGTGTTAAAATTCAATAATATCTCATCTTTTTTTGTTATTACGTAAATGATAAAGGCGATTATAAACTTCAGTGTGATTTTTGACTATAGAACGGGATATATGCAGGTTTGTGGAGAAAGACTTTCTCTATCTAGTGGTATATATATTATTAAATTGTGTTGCGTACCGTGGTAGAAACTTGAATAGAAAAAATCATGCATCTTACATCTTACATCTTTTTAAGGAATACTCGTATACTATAATCTATATCATACTGAACCAGCACAGAACCTAATCCAATCATTTATATATACCGTTCGACAGCCCACATTATCTACGTTAATAATCTATGTCAATCTTCTCTATAATTGAGTTATAATGTGCTTTATAATAGTTTGAAAAAAATAATTCTATATTGTTTTGATCATGTCACTTGAGAACAACATTTATAGTTTCATATTTAGAATTCGGAAAAATATACTATAACTATACTAACTTGTAGAGATTTGTTTGCTTTACAAAATAATATGAGGAATACCTCTGCTTGACTTTATTTAGTACACTTATTAGCACTTCACTAATGCATAATAATATAAAAATCACGTATATCACATACAATCAGTGTGCTTTAGACTTAATTTTATTGTCAATGCTTGAATAATTCCTATTACAAATCTGACCACCACACAGAAAAACCTCTTCAATAAAGATCCTAACGAGTGCGTATATTCAATCGTCGGGCGTTGTTCAAGCTCATGTTTTGATTATGAGTAGAACTTAGTGAGACTAAGAGAACTATAAAAGAGCTCGGGTTCATGGCATGTTTCTGCCCAGATATCGAGCTTTTAGTGAATTATTCCTACAGCACCCTACCACATGATCAAAAAAATATAGAATTATTTTTTTCAAACTATTATAAAGCACATTATAGCTCAATTATAGAGAAGATTGATATAGATTATTAACGTAGATAATGTGGGCTGTCGAACGGTATATATAAATGATTGGATTAGGTTCTGTGCTGGTTCAATATGATATAGATTATAGTATACGAGTATTCCTTAAAAAGATGTAAGATGTAAGATGCATGATTTTTTCTATTCAAGTTTCTACCACGGTACGCAACACAATTTAATAATATATATACCACTAGATAGAGGAAGTCTTTCTCCACAAACCTACATATATCCCGTTCTATAGTCAAATCCTTATAGTCGCCTTTGAATAACTATAGTCCGTTTAGCAACCGTTAAAGAGTTACGTAATCAGTGTTTGAGTCATCTCAGTTTCTTTCTCTTAGTGGCTAAAATTACAATGATAATTCCAATGCGGAGTGCTGAATGTGATATATTTCATCACTTTCGTTCCTTCTATGCAATTTCATAATTTCAGAGTTTCCTTGTTATTGAACAATAGATGTAGTAGACGTAATTTGACATACATAATAGTATCGTTGAATAAACTTTTTTATTATAAAAATTTTTCTTTTTTCTATTTATAAACTGAAATGTCTTTGCGGATGAGCCTGAATTATTTTTTGGAAAATCAATCTTGTTCGATAGATGGCGGCATAATTATAGCTAATTAGATATATTTTTCGGATATAATTCAGTTTTATTCAATTGCAATTTTCAATTCACATGTAGAAAAGCAGAAAATTTCTGAAAATTTTTTTTTCAATGAAAGTGTTGTGTTACTATTAGTCCATTTGTCTATATAATTCCGTACCAGATTTTGTACCTTTAACTCGAATTAGATTTTTCCACGATAATTTCTTCCGTCTTTTTTTTCTATCTACTAAACTTTTCTTCGTCCGACGTTACTGTATTTTTCGTTATTTTAACTCTAACCACGGAATCTCTTTCGCTTACTATACTCTAATCGTATCCTGTCTTCCTTCATGTTACTCTAATCATATCCTCCTTCCGCGTACTATGTTCTAACAATATTCTTCTTTCGTTTACTATACTCAATAGTATTCTTCTTTCGCTTACTTTACTCTAACCATCCATATCCTTATTTTGTTTATTTTGCTCTATATCCTTCTTTCGTTTATTTTACTCGAGCCATATCTTCCTTTTCGTTTGTCGTAAGTTAACTGTATCTATCCTGTCAAGAAGTGAAAATTACTATGCAGAACTCTAGTTAGATCTAACTAATTGTAGCAACGTAATGAGAGTTTGAGTTTGAGCGATCCCCTCTGAATCATTCTGAAAGTGTCCTATTTATAGATAATTTTCCAGTAATGATGTATATAGTTATCTAATCTATGTACATATACTCCCTAAGAAGTTAGCAAGAATTTTACTTGTGTTTTCTTCTTCTAAAAGACATTTTTTTACACATTTACCGATAATATATGTAAGAAAAAATGTCTTTTAGAAGAAGGAAACACAAGTAAAATTCTTGCTAACTTCTTAGGGAGTATATGTACATAGATTAGATAAATATATCCATCATTACTGGAAAATTATCTATAAATAGGATACTTTCAGAATGATTCAGAAGGATCGCTCATATGCGTTCTTTTGTAATAATAAAATGCCATTTAAACGCGTTTCAGAGGAAAAAAACGCATTCCAATGCATTTTTAGAAACACGTTTTAGTCGGTACATATCGGTTTCTCCCAATAAAAGGATGCGTTTCAATGCGTTTTAAAAACTGCGTTTAAGGTCTAGCGAAAACATGTGGACTAGAAAAAAAACGCGTTGAAACGCATTTTTATACCAAATTTTTTTTCATGGGTGATAAATACATTAAAAATATCCATTGAAAAAACGAATTTTCCTTAATTATTTCTTATTATGTAGGTCCATTGGGTACGTATCTTGATCATTTAATGGGTGGAAATCCAAATCCAACCATTGGTCAACTTGTGGGTGGTTATGCCGGAAGTGGTTATTCCGGAGGTGGTCATCCCGGAGGTGGTGGATTGGGAGGTAATCCTGGTGGCAGATCCGGTGGGTTCTCAGGTAATTCAGGTGGTGGTGGATTGGGAGGTAATCCTGGTGGCAGATCCGGTGGAAATCATGGAGCCGGTGGATTCTCAGGTAATCCAGGTGGTGGTGGGTTGGGAGGTAATCCTGGTGGTAGATCCGGTGGTAATCATGGAGCCGGTGGATTCGGAAGTAATCCTGGAGCCGGCGGATTCGGTGGTAGTCATGGAGGTGTTGGATTAGGAGGTAATCCTGGTAGTGGATTCAGTGGTAGTCATGGAGCCGGTGGATTTACAGGTAATCCAGGTGGCAGTGGATTAGGAGGCAATCCTGGTGTTAGATTCAGTGGTAATCATGGAGCCGATGGATTCAGAGGTAATCCTGGTAGTAGTGGATTCGGTGGTAATCCTGGAGCCGGTGGAATCACAGGTAATCCAGGTGGTGGTGGATTAGGAGGTAATCCTAGTGTTAGATTCAGTGGTAATCATGGAGCCGATGGATTTAGAGGTAATCCTGGAGTCGGTGCAATCACAGGTAATCCAGGTGGTGGTGGATTAGGAGGTAATCCTGGTGTTAGATTCAGTGATAATCATGGAGCCAGTGAAATCAGAAGTAATCCTGGAGTCGGTGCAATCACAGGTAATCCAGGTGTTAGATTCAGTGGTAATCATGGAGCCAGTGAAATCAGAAGTAATCGTGGTGGTGCTGGACTGGAAGATAATCCACGTAGTGGTGAATTGGGAGGTAATTCTGGAGGTGGTGGAGTTAATCGTTCTCCTCAATATGGTAATTCATATGGTTATTCGAAGTCATAATAAACAATTATATCAACTCGAGGCCTTTTCGAAATAACAATATATAAATATAAATATTATTCAAGTGTTTTATCCAGAAAGAAAATTTTTGTTCATTCGAAATCAAGTTGCTTAACGATTGGAAATAAAATACAAAGATCAGCACATATTCTTCTATGTCTCGTGTGTTTTTATCAGAATTGTTTTGTACATGAGATGAAATATGTATGTGTAGAACAAGTTCATTTTATATGCGTTACAAAAAAGCAAAACAAGTTTTCCTTTCAGAATATCCATATTTAGTTTCGAAATCAATGATCAAAATAAATTGTTGATATTGAAATAAACTGAAATATCATATGTTGATAACGTCACATAATAGATTTTTCCATAAAGAACTTTAATTAACAGGATAAAAATTATTTCTATTTCTTTTTTATATCTATTTTGAAATGAAAGAAGAGTGATCATTTTTTTGAATAGCTCTCCGACAGAAATATCTATCGATCTGTAGTTTTCATCATTGGAAAGAAGCAACGAATCTGTATCTATTCGTATAATATTTAATAATACGATTAACTCACAAATATATTGAGTAACCAGTGAAATTCGAACAAGCACTTAGCGCGCTTGGAAAAATGCATAGAATTTCAATTATAAGAAGTGCATTCGATTCGTCTACTGAAGATCTATAACTCTACATAAAGTAGAAATTTTTATTTTTTTTTGGTGTTGTAAAGGTATATGTCGAACATTGATTGTTATAAATGCTCGAAGCAATCATGTATGAATATTTGTTCGAGTTTTAATAATTATATATCTATTAACAGATAATTAGATTTTTCGCGATTTTGAATAATTAGAACGAAATTGCGCATTTTCTAACAAAATCTTTCTTTGATTACCTTTTTAGTATGTTTAATTAGACTAGATATCCATGTTTTAACCTCGACATTAATTATATTTTCCTTTTCCGTCTAGTCATGACTAAGAGCTTGTTAGCTCGAAAGCATTGTGTCCAAATTACAGATAAAAGCATGAGCCAGTTTTAAGAAAGGAAACATTTTGCTCTCTCTTTTGCTGAAGTAGATATTTATTACTATATTGCTGCTGCGTAATTAAACGAAAATGAAAGAGAGACAATATATCAATCATCCCAAATGAAATTCAGTTGTCGATAAGGTACTTACACATCATGATTTCTCACACGACCTCAAGCAAATAATTGTCCCTCTAATCAAGCTTTTAGAGTGTGAAAAGAATGGTTATTTGATTTTGTTGAACAAAGTTAATGAATACATCAAGTCTATTGATATTTCATTGACATCAATTGAAAGAAAGAAGAGAGAAATGAGAAGGAGGAAAGCTAGACGTCGGAAAAAGAAAACGAATCGATTAGGCTACAAAAAAAGTAAAAGTAAGAAATACAAAAGAAAGAAAATGCAACAATTTTTGCTACTCTCCGATTTCGAAGTACATGTATCAGATTAGCAACATAATTATCATCAGTCTCTGTTGCATTAGATACCACTATCAGAATGTTCATGCCTGTTTATAAACTATTACGAAAATGTGGTCATGCTGGTCGTTCACCTATCAGATTGACAAAAGATTGAAAAGAAAATATCCTCTAAGTACTTCATGCCGATAGATGTACACAGTCCATAGGCACCATGGTCATCTAGTGGTAGATGAGTGGGTCTACTCAATGATAGACAAAGTTCTCACTCAAATTTTGAGTGACGACTCTGATTTTCCAATTCATTCGATGCCATCGATCTGACGTTGGATGAAGAAGTTAGACTTTGCATATAAAAGAACGTCGAAAGTTATTGTGCCACTCGATTCTCTTTTGTAGATGGTACTTCGTACATGTTATTTTGCTGTAATCGATGAAACCAGAAACAATGGTACGATCATCTTCTGGCAAGATAAGACATGGTATAATCAAAACGAAAAATATGTTTTCGTATGGACTGATAGAGATACAGATATTGGTCGTCTACGACAGAATAATGACAAAAAGTATGATTTCTTTCTTTCGTTAAAAGGATCCATAACTTTTCTTTAAGTGGCAGTGACTAGCTATTTCTGCATTAATGCACTTCTTAGGTTTTCATACATCATCCATTGATATATATTTGAATGTAATGAACATCACCGTATGAATCTTAGTCGTGGTCACGGATTTTTATGGGACATTGGAAAATTTTGCAAAGTGACTATCCCTTGGTCATTACTTTTATGAAAAAATCAGAAAATTTGCAGGAGTTTTTTGTGGAAAGTTTCTTTTATTGTAGGAAGAATTAAAATTGTCAAGAAATAATCAGTAAACTCTCTGAATCATTATTGATAATGTTTTTGAACTTAATATTATCGTTCTAAACAGGATAATCTCAGTTTTGAAGAAATCAAGTAGTAGTTGCGTTTTTTTTCTTATTTATCGTTATTGTTAATCGTCAATGACTTAATCTGATTTTTTAACACATCTTATAATATAGAACTGTGTTACATAGAAGAATAAAAAATAGAAAATCAGCAGAAATTAGGAGAAAGTTTAAAAAAATTAGCTCTTGAACTCAGGAGAATTTTAACCAGAAGATAACTATGAAAATCAGAAGGTTTATCAACTCTAAGTAGTTAAAAGTATGAAGCATGTCTGAGATGAGAATATTTCTTACTATCAAATTGCTTTAAAATCGAACTTGCTCAATCAATAGATTCTAATGCGTTATTAAATATCTTCAAGTCAAAGAGAAGAAAGCAAATTTTAGGATCCACGAACTGCTTTTTTTTCTGTTGAATATACTTCATTTATCATTTGTTTTTTCACCATAGACTCTGTTTCATACAATAGAATCATGTTAGAGTATATCAATGCAATAACCAAAAATCAATTCACGAATACACGAAAAGCAGATGGTCTGTTTCAGACATAGACTGAAGCTTCCTATATTATTTGAAGAATTTAATAAATCACATAAAATTTGCGATTAATTCTTGTTAGTTAAGTGAATTTGACAGCTTTTTTTCTGTATTGTTTGGAAAAGTCGATCACATAATTTAATACAAAGAATTCGATTTGTAATACGACAAAAATATCAGCGAATCGAATTTCTTTATACTCAAAGTTATTTTATCATCTGCGAACCTTAATAGGTACCTTGACGATGCAATGGAAGTTCATATAATTATCTGAAAAGTGAAAATAAGAATGAGGTTTGCTACTACTATTTTTTGATTCTATCTTACATAGTTGAATCATCGGCTGGATTCGGTTATAATACATATTCTATCGAAGCTGTCAAAGAACTGGAGTCAATGAGGTTAACTATGTTGGAATACAAAATTTTATGAATTGTTGATAAAGGATGATTGTATATTGTTATCTGAGACAGTTATACAAAATTGAGAATTTATTGATAAATGTTTAGGGACTTGAGTAAATTGTTACGAAACAACAATTTTCTAGAGAAATGAAAACGTTTGAACAAAATGATTTTGTTATTTGTAGAGAAATAAATAATAAAGATAAAACATTAATGAAATGAAATATTTTGATAAAAGTATTATTTAGAAAAGTATCGTTGTCGCTACTTTTGGTTTTAATGTTTACTAAGTCAACTCATCATTCGAATTATTAAGAGCAAAATTCCAATAATGATATAAAAAGGATTTGTCAAGAACTCATCCAACTTAAATAAATGTAATCATCTACTAGATTAAGTTTGACACAAACAGTTACTATTGAAAAATAGGTTATTATGATCCATTCGACAGTTATGAAATCAGCACAACAATTTATGACTGTTCTTCTTAAATGACTTTCGTTTATTTGAATGATGTATACTATTAGTGTTAGCTAACAAAAAAACTACATAATATTGACTCTTGCTAGAGATGAATGTATTCCTAAACATTCATATCGATCTTGTCGTACATCAAGGAATCCCGATTGGCAGATTTGTTGAAATACACAATCAGCGGTCGACTTTTATTGGTCAAATATTTATGCGCCTCTGATTTAAAGGTCTCTGTAGGTTCATAGACAGAATGGAATAATGTACAATCTAGTGTATTGATTGATTGTAAAAGTTTCTCGATTAGACTGAATAGTAAGTTTCAGAAAAAAACACATAAAATCAATCGTTTTCCTTCAAATATATCATACACATAATCACATAATGTTTACATTCGACCACTTAAATTCTAAATATCAATATTCGTCTGACTGTTCACAATTGCTTATGGCATGACATTCGTCATAGTAGTTTGATTGGCATTATTGAGTGCATCTAGAACCGAGAGATAACCAGCATCTGTCCTAATTTCGATCAATCAATCGACTTTCATTCTATGCATTAGATAAAAGTATAAATCGACATTCATATGGCATAATGGAGACACTTCTGGATTGAATCCATTTAAATAAACAGAATCTAAAAGAAGTGTAGAAATTTATAGGGTAGAAATTTGCACTCTTCTCCTTGCCACAGATTGTGACAGATGTTATTGTTATAAAGGCAAATAAAATTAAGAGGAATAAAATAAAAAAATTGACAGAAGTTTCTTAACCCGAAAAAGCATACAAAGGTTGATCTTGTCCTTTGCCTGGCCAATCAATCTGTTGACATTGACGTTTACACATTATTTCAAAGATTAATCGATTAAATTTCATTTCAAGCTCGAATATTGAATATATAATCGATGGTGATGACAAATACAATGTATAAACATGAACTAATTGTTGTTGTTTATTACATGCATCGATCATTTGTCGCAAACGATGTTCAAGTTCAACATCAAGTGGATTCGATGAATCGACAATGCAAACAATAGCTGTTGAACGATTAGTCAATGATCGTAATTGTTGAAAGGGACCATGTGCAAATTGAAGATAATCGTGGACAGTTGGTGATGACCAATAGAGACCTTCGACAAATTTATAGAGAAGATTTTGACACACATCAATCAAAGGCGAAGAAAGAATTAAATGAAATGGACCTCGTGAAAATTGTTGATTGTCATCTTCGATCATGGCTTGTCGAAGAATCAAATAGTCTGGTAACAATGATGATGATGATGATGGATTTCTGATCAGAATCGTTTGCAAACTATCTTTTTCGATAAGATGGTTGTTTGTGAAACGTTGAACGAAGAGAATAGCAGCAAGAAAACCACATATCGGACCAATAACGCGAATCAGAGTCGTGTATTCATCATTGAGTGGAAATTGAATAGTTTCAATTTTCTCTTTCTCAATCCATGGACATTTTTTTCTCATTTGCTCGTCGTTCATTGAAGTAAACAAAAGAATATGTGAGAAATATTCTTGTCCATATTTGATTATCATTTGAGCATTGGGTGATAAACCTTGACTAAATAAGATTAGAATTTGATTCGAACGAAATCGGGTCGTCAATCGTATGAAACCTGTAAAACCGATAAATAATGCCTGACGATCAGTATAAAGATTTATAAGAAGAGTTAAATAACGAGCGTGTGCTTCTGAACTGCCAATACCAGTTACAATGAATGATTGAGCATCTATGATTGAAGAAGAGAATGCAGGAAGTTTATCTTCCAACATACCAAGAAGAAGTGGTGGGATTTGATCAAGACGCTGTTCGATTAGACCATGTCCTAATGGATCGTTTGTGTTAGGAGTAGCCATTTATTCTTCTTAGCTTTGATAATTTCTAACGTTTCTCAATTAACCTATTCAATGTTCTATTTCTAAAATAAAATAAAAATTTGAAATGAAAATTTTGCATTATTATGCAATGATTAGATATGTCTTCAAAAGTTCATTTTAAGGTTTATCAATAATAACATACACAATTATTTTTTCAAACTTATCCTTTTAATTGAATAATAGGTTTGTCTGATTGATACGAACAGAAATGACTGCAGTTTTGATCATCAGTCGTCGAATGCCTATCTTTTTCCTTTATCTTTCTGCGACTCATTTACTCCTGTAGTCTTATTGAGACAGCTTGCTATTGTGGCTGCGCCTGATTTTCGAAAAAAAAGCAAATATTTACACTAGATGTCACATATAATAATTTTAAGTTATTGTATCAAAGACGCCAGCCACCCAAAGAGAAACAACGACAAATAATAGATAACGAATCTGTGGTTCTTTCTCTTTCATTTTTCGACTTTGACTTTGCAAGGATTGTACGTCATCAATGATCAGATTTTAGTCTTTTAGTAAATATTAAAAAGTGCTGATCGATCTCTCTTGGTCTTACTCATGAAATCGATAGTGAAAAGATCGAATACCCCGTTTTATTTCGTCGATTATGCTATTCAATCTGAAATAATAAAAAAATCATGAGAGAAAAAGTATTGATTGATAATGATGAATATATTCTCCCTTATTCGAAGCCTATATCATAGGGATACAAATAAAAGTTTTAAGAGACGTCTGACAAAACATAAGAACAGATGGTAGATAAGAGATATTTTCTCTCATGTATATAATGAAATTGCTTCATATCTACTAAGTAAAAAATGTATAGAGAAAATTAAATCCTATAAAGTCTCTGAACTTTTCAATATTGTTTTCCGACACGGTTGACAACTCTCTGTATGCTTGTCCAGGAACTTTACTTAGGATAAAAATTCTGGATGAGTAATACACATCAAACTTGCTCCATAACAAAGATTAAAGGGAAAACTTCGTCAAAACATGAATAAATCATGTTAGAGCACATATTAGAGCCCGTCATGTCGATGATTTTTGGACTCGAACTCGATCAATTGTGTTCCATTTATTTTCATTATTTTTAATTAAAAAAAAACTTTTCAGACAACTAAAATGATTTTATGGATTTGAGAAGATATTTTTCAGGTTTTAAAAGCTCAGAAATAATATTGAACTTAGATTTTTAAGATTTTCAACTCAAAACGCCGACAACTAGATATATTTTCACATAAATACGCTAATTAAACTTCTGGTTTTTCGAAAAACTAATTAATTGAGGTCGTCTTTTATTACGTCTGTCCGTTTGTTTGTCGAAGAAATGTCTTCTGTTACTGTGAGTCTTCTATTATGAAGAGAGATTTAATCAGAATTGGATACTCACCTCGATTATATGAGATACTTTTTTCCAATTTTTTGCATTCGGTGACTGATGCAAAGTAAAGATTTCTCAGATGATTAAGATCCACCGGATTCAAACTTCTTTGGATTCGGATTCAGACCCGACGGACTCTATGGAAGAGTTTGCTAATATGAGGGAGTTTTTTCTTATGAGGCGAAGTTTAGTTGTAAACTAATAATTTCAATATCGAACAAAAAATCTGATTATTTTCTAAAAACATTCGATTTGAACTTTCTCATATAATTATGTTCCGATACTAAAACAGTGAATATAATTTAAATTCGATTCACATTCGCTATGGGTAGCTCACATATTTAGTTTATTTGTTTGAGAATAAGAGACATTATCTGACTCGAACATGGTCAATCATCTTGCCTTATAGTGCAAAGTTTCATTTTAGGATATTTTTTTTTAATTTGCAAAATCACATTTTCATTTCAATTCTTTTATATGTTTAAATAGCAAAAATCTTGTTCTTTCTTAAAAAAACACGACAATGTGATCTCTGTAACGTTCCATCATGATTCCATAGGAAAAATAAAATAATTGAAGAAGTTTGACAGCTTCTGGTATAACTGAGACTAGACTAGAAAGAGAAAAAGATAAACACTCGTTTCAAATTCTAGTTGAGTCCTCTTCTGTTGTTTCATTGTCATAGGTATGATGTGTAACACTTCCATTGGCTTGACGTTCTTCCAATGGTATCTCCTCTTTATGAGCCACAGCGTTCGAACGTGATGTGAAAAAGAGATACCACATATGTATCCAATGAATAGCCATGATTACGACAAGACCCAATATAATTGCCCATGCCTAAATAATTTCTCGTTAAGTTTAGTCGAATTTTTCTTCTAATAGACTTACTCGCCAACTTTTTTCGACAGCTTCAGTAAGTGGTAAAAGACCATACTGAATCGAAGAAAATATAGCAGCCGTTGTCCACAATACTCCAGTTAAAGTACCAAGGTATTCAGTTGGAAAACTATTAGGAAAAAAGAACAATTATATGAGAACTGTTTAATTTTTATTTCTCAATAAAATATCATTGGATGAATCGATTCAATTAGTCATACTCGTCTATCGAAATCAAATCGAGGAAAAAAGTTCAATCTTAGTCGATTATTTGTTTGATTAACGATTAATTAAAAAGATTCGATTTTTAATCACAAAAAAAAATGATTAAAATGGATTCAATTTTTGAAAATCCATCATAATCTTTGTTTATTCTTTTTGAAATATTAAATTATTTTAATTAACTTTAATCTACTATTTGTCTAATTATTTATTTTAATCTATTATTTTCTGTTAAACTATTTTAAACCTAATTATTATCTGTTCATCAATCTTAATCATTTTTATCAAAACTAAATGTTTTTTTTTTCTTCGAACTTGAGCTAAGTAATGTAAGGTTGGTATTGATATAATAAACTATTTCAAATTAATACAGAACACTTATATTAGAAATTGATTAAAATCCGTTAATGTTAATAAAATCTTTTTTAATCCATTGAAATAACAAAAGTAAGATGAGAAATGATTTTTGACGATTCAAATCATTTATAATCGACTGTTCGATTGTAACTGACTTCTCTAATATATATTAAGACAGTTTACGAAGAAATTCAAACTTAATTCTGCAGTTTTCAGACAACATTCAATGTGAACTTAATCTATTTATAATCAGTATTTAAACTATAGAAATAATTTAAGAAATTTTCATCGATTTCAAAATAAAATTAATTTTAATTGACTATTGTCACTTCAATTTATAAAAATTGATTTTCCTCTAATTTTACTCATTGATTGTATGAATATCTAACTGTTATTTAAGATTTATTTGATAGTTACAAAGATGCAACGACAGCTTGACAACCACCAGCAATGAGTGAACGTTCAATACAATTAAGAACTATAGCAGCTATAATACAACCCTCCGTATTGAACATACGAACAATGCATACTGCTACAGCCATAAACCATGTGATTGTTTGCATTAATGCTATATTGAAGATTCGTTGTTTAGAATCTTCGTTTAAAAAAAAAACGTATTCGTTACTAATTAGTATAATTAAAATTTGTTTTCATCTTACTATTTCTTGCTCGAAAATCAAGCAAAAAACCACTAGATGGACAAATAACAAGAGCAGCAGTGGTACACAAATTGAATATTAATGTATATTCATTGGCTAAGTAAACATTTAATATGCATTCAATTGAGTGCATAATTGATACTTACAAAGATCTTTATTATCATTGGTGATATACATAACCCATGGAAACCAAGTGACGGGTAAAAATACTGATGGTAAAAGAAGAAAACTCAAGTAAAGTACCACCAATATGTAAACTGGACTCAATAAATGTTCCCAAACACCAACACGATTGACAATGCGTTGATACCAAACCATTTCGTTGGCATTTGATCTTTGATTATTATCTAGAACACGTATTTAATGATTTTCTACTATTCTATTGATTCTCTTCTAATAATTTCTTTACCAGTAGATTCTGTTAAATTGTTGTTTGTGTTAGAACTAGGAGCAAATCTATATGGTAAGTTCAAAAATCGAAATTCCCAATCCATGAAGAAGCAAGCAGTAATAATCATAATAATAACAAAAACAGTCCATATAATCGAAAGTATTTTTAAATTAGTTTGATTGTTAGTGATCAATCTCTATGAAAATTATCGATAAGAATATTTGTACATTTATCAATGATTTACTTGAAATATTGAAAACCACATTGTTGACGAGATCGATGAACCAGATATTATTGAAGAAACAACAGCACGTGTACCATCACCAAAATAACGACAATAGGCAAAACCAGTTATAAGAACGACACTCGATGATATCGACGTAAAAATAGTATGAAGAAATAGAAGATAATCTCTACCTATATAATTAAATATAATAAATTATTTTATGATCGAATATTAACCATATAGATATTATACCTGGTGCGATAAAAGTTAAACTAAGCCATCCAGCTATATGAAATATTCTAGAAGAAAAACTTCTTTTCACAATTTTTTTCAAGATCAAATTAACTTACATAGAGACAAGTTTAACAAAGCGACATCCCAAATAATTTATCAAAAGTCCAAGAAAGAATGGCATCAAATTATAAAACCAAATACCAATAGTTAGAGCAAGCTAGATATATTATATTTGAAAACAATTTGACTAATGATTATTTTCTCTGTCTCTCTATCTCTCTCTATATATATATACCTTATATTGTTCTGTTCGGGCATCACAATTTTCAAATGTTGTTTCATTCGTCACATTCGATATAGGTTCCGTACTTCTATTAGTACACAAATTTGAATATATTCCATCTCTCGGCAATATATCAAAGAGAGCCGAAAAGCCAAAAATATTTCCTCCAAGTAAAATCGATTCAATTATCAAAAATGCAAGACCCAACCATTTGCCATATTCACGATAAAAGTCTATAATAGTCATTGTGATTTCAATCAATCTATAGCTAAAATATATAAAAAAATTTCTCATATCTTTACTATGTTGAAGTCCTCATCAATATTCGATTATCACTCATAATGTGTTATCAATTTTTCGATTAGAATTTCTTGTTCTCATGCATGAGAGTTTACTGCTCTTGTTTAACTATTCTAATTAACACATAAAATTCAATCAAGAAAATGTATCACATTGTTAAAAAGTGATCTTCAATTAGATTTAGTTATATTTTAACTCACTGTGATTGTTATTGCAAGAAATACACAGGAGATAAGCAATTATTATATATCTAGAATAATATTGATGTTCGACAATTCAAACGTGAAAATCTAAAAAAAATAGAAAGAAGAATAATAGTGCTTTGTTGAGGTTTTTAAAGAAAATTTAGAATTTAATCGATAGGTAATACATCGAATTATGATTCTAATGAGTTACTCGGCAGCTCACAAACTTAACTACTAATTGTAAGTAGCATCAACATTGAAAACGACCAATATGATATGTTTCATATTCTAGACAAAATGATAGTTGAATATACTAGAACTATGATTATTCGTAATGTACATAGTTATCATATACGAAAGTTCTGGTGATTGTTACATATAACGATAGGATGGATAAATAAAATTGAACTTGTCTCAGTCATGAAGCAGATCAAACGTAACTGGTTCAATTTCAGTCAATGTACTTCAATTTAAGACATGTACCAAACATAACGAATGATCATAGAGATGAAGTGAATGAGTAAAATTTTAAAAATTACTTAAAACAATCATGACATGATTATTCAATTACGAATTAATTATAAGAACATTTGTATTCAATCGATTGTTCTATTCATCTAAAACATTAAATCCTGGTTCATGTTACATTTTAGAATTGATCGAATTTACTTTAAAAAACGATGAACAGTTGGCACATAATCGGCAAGATGTATGTGAATCTTGTTAAATTATGACATTTTAGCGAAGAAATCGATACTAGCTACTATAGATTACAGCAACATGGAATTGAATGAAAATTTGTTGATATTTTTTCTGAAGAGATAAGTATGCAGTTTCAGGGCTTTGATTTGTTATATTATTATGTTGAAGAATAACAAAACATCGATCGGTACCATAAATAATAATGATCATATGAATCCAATAGATGCCTGTTGATGATCATTTATTCAGAATCAGTGTTAATTCTCAACTTTGAACTTTCAGCTTTCAACGTTCCACGCGAAAAAAGATACATCGCGTCTCTCTCGATGTAGCACATAACCTTTCTGTAGATAGACACGCATAGAAAATCACAACAGGTGAGGCTTCGCGAAAGGCCACACACAGGCATAAGCAATCAAGCAGAGCATTGCACCTGATATGGGGTGACGCGAAAGGGCTGGAAAAACGACATACACAAAAACATACACATCACTGCAGCAGGTATGGATGCCGAGAAAGGACTGACTGAAGAGACGACATACACAAACTTTATCATGTCTACTAGAATTGATTTTAAATAAGCCATAACAACTTGTGAACAATCATTGATTGTCAATAATGTAGCGTATTTTTTCTCATGATAGTTTCCCTAACAAATATGTAAACTGAGAAATTTGAGATGTTATTTGAAATCTATCGATGTCAATGCTGTATGATATAATTCTATCGTTACTTCCTATTTCGTATTGTCTGGCTAAGTTGACGAAGAATTACAAATGCAGGTTATGTCACTATTTATTTTGTCAAATACTTCCACAGCTTCAATATTTGTCTAGTTAAATAAGTCGATAAGGACGAAATGAGACAGAACGAATAATTCAAAGACCATTCTTCGACTTTTTATCTGAAGAATATGTCACTTACTTCATTTACTGACGCAAACTTTTTTGTTTCGAGAATATTCACAAAAATACTTCAGGCACTTCTCACAAATCAAACTATTAAACATTGATATCAAGCAGAACTATTATCAAATAAAGGCGATAACTGTCAAGGAATCTAAGCTGAATAAAAATAACAAGAAAAAAAATGATTTAACAGTTAAATAGATGTCAAAGCCATTGTCATACAATTTCTCAGAAACATAAGTCTAATCTAGAGTTAAAAATTCTCTTTTATTAGATAATTAGATGTCGGTCAATATGATTGAAATCCAAATCATTTCTCCATGAAACAGTTCCTTCTTTAGGGTGTGGGTGTGAGTGCGGATCTTTTGTGTATCCTCATTAACATTCTAACTAAGGTACCTATATCCACATGTCCACACTCATACTCTTACGTACCTTTTCGTGCCGTTCGCGACAATGAAATAATGTATTCGTTGTCTTCACTTAATATATTATTAAGATAAAAAAAAAGCTCTTTATAAATAATAATAAATTTTGTATCTGTGTATATGTGGGCGTTGCTTAGATTCATATCTCTTCTTTTGTAATTCTCCGAAATGAAGAACGAAAGAAAGTCATTCTATTTATCCCACCTACCACTCTCTGATATGTTTATGTACACAGAGAAGAATAGGTAAATGATTCATATTCGAAATGAGCGAAGTATACAAAATTTGCGACACGTACCAATGACGATATATACATTGTTACCTGTTGATTTCTATAAGGTTACGGACTATGGCCCCTGTGGCTAGAGCTAGTGACAGAATAATAATAACATCATGCCGTTTTCGCTTACCGAATATTTTTTTACCTACGTCTCATTATAAGAGTTGGTAGCTCGTTTTTCTAGACTTTGTCACATCTTTTATCTTGTTCTGCTTTTTTTTCCAACACCGTCTGCTTATTATGGAATTCAGCGGCTTTTCTCTATGTTTCTTTTTATTTCGATTGATAGTTACCTGCATAGATACTAAATATGTCGCATATATATTAAAAGCGTCTTAATATTTATTTCAAAACCAATGTTTATGGATACTTTGTATGAGTTCAATAGTAAATGGTTTAATTGTTTCATCAGTGCATAGTTAACGAGACAATAAAGATTTACAATAGTACGTAGATGAATCAGTGACGCTCTTTCTACATACCTTAATCACGGAAAAGAGGAGAAGAGTGGATACATAAGGTGAGTATATTCAAATGATTCAGCATACACTGTGTATTGCACTTCCTATCAACTCATAGTCCATACTAGTGACTTAAAGAATAAGATCTTTCCATTATGGTAAACATCATTCTTAATCGTTTCTATCAAAACGTTGAAACTTTTACAAATAAAGACACAATAATAAATTCTACCGCGAATATATTTTCTTTCATCAGTAAGATTCTCATCATACCATAGTATATTTATCAATTAAATGCAAAGCGATGGCGTCAATATGAAACTTTGTTTAATTTGACGATTTAATGAGATCAGTCTACGAAACGAGATCAATTCAAAGAAAGAATTGCCTACTTTCATTCAATGATAAGAATAATGATTGTCAACGTAATTTTGATGAGTGACATATACTATGATCCTTGGCTACAACTTCATTAAGAACACTTATTCATTACATGGAGAACAAGCATGATAATACTGATTCATCTCTCTTCATTGTGCACTAGTTATTCAAACAACATTCCATTGTCATTACAAGCAATGCCTGTTGGTGATAGAGTTTATTGAATGATTGTTAAAAAATTCGTTTGGAACTCACAAAGATTTAGCATATATGTCATTTGATGTCTCTTGGAGAGCTGTTAATTTTTGATTGTAAAGTTTCGATACAATATTTTGTCAATAAAACATGCGTTCATTTTAATTTAATTTGAGTCCTACAATTTCGACTGAATATCTTTATAGAAAATTTATTCAAACTTAAATAATAGAATTTCAATCCAGAATTTCTTAATTTATATCAAAATTGAATCCTTCGAATATTCAACTCGTTTAAGTAAACTTTAGTTACTAGTTGAAGTTTTTGTTGATGAAATCAATGTTGACAAATGACTCATCTATGTTTGGAATAATTTCAAGAATTATAAATAGATCTGACATCAGTTCAATGAGGTCGAACTACTAAGGGCATTAATTGTCACCTTTTTTACAGATGCATGCATGCAAATGACATCGGTAGAGGGATGGAATCAAGTTGCCATAGACAGAAAAATCATGAGCTTCCTACTACTATCTCATAAACAACTCTTTTAGAAATCAACATAAAATAGAGATTGATTTTTTTTTATTTGATTGTCATTACATACGGTCTGTTGATAGGAAAGCGAAATTAAGTTTGCTTGATTAGTAAAGCTGGTATTATTGCATAGATTTAGTTAATTCATTGGCATTTATTTAACAATTTGAATAGTTGATTTTGACAATATCAATGTTTGATTTAATTCTCTTATTTTAAATCATTTCTAAAATTAACATTTCAATTATTGAAACAAATTCAAAAAACAAATTTAATATTATTTATTAAAGATATTTTCGATTTATTTCTGATTAAATTTCTTCACTGTATTTTATCATAAGATGATCATAATTAAAATAAACTTAGTATATTTATTTCTCATTGTATTCATTTTGATCGATTCATTCATTTACGATCACTTACTTTTTATGACGTTTTATTTAATTCAATGAATAAATGGAATTCTATTTAATTGTCAATGTCATTCAAATCTTATTTATATAATCTAAAAAAACACTTATTTATGTATACAAAATGAGCATTTTTCATTTGACAAGTTAACGAGTTTATTATTAAAATTTTGAGTATTTCGAAATTGATTGTCTCAATATAGATATTTCATATGAATTAAATTATTTTATTCTAATCCAAAATTAATTTTATCATCATTAAAATATTTATTTATTGAAGATGATCAATACTATCCTTGTGACTACGACTTGCTTAGCCAGTATGGATGAGAAGTTCAAGCAACTGCCCAAGAAAATTCGAAGTCAAGTCGATCCTCTTTTCAAAGCTACTCTTAATAATAGTTCTAGGGAGAATATCAGGCTTACGAAATTGTCTCTGAGCAATATACCATATCGCAA